TACGCTTTAGGTCGCTATTGATGTACTATATAGCGTATACGACTAAGGAATAGTCGTCTAGTAGCGCTCTTAGTGCGTTGCGCTAGTTGAGTTTACAGTTACGAATATAGTCGTTATACTGCTTCCGACTAGAGCTATTAAATACGGTGCAGTCCTTAAGTTTAGCATCCTTCTTTTAGATAGGTAGTAAAGAAGGTCCTGCTATTAGCTTAGCAGTAGTTGTTAGAGATTCCTAGAGGCGGCGAATCTCGAGAAGATTATCCTTTAGCTATTATTCTTAACGTAAGGCAGTGAGCCTATTTTAAGTAGCTTCTTGAAGTCTCGCTACTAGTTAGGGACTAAAGGCTAGCTAGCTATATCGTCGATTAACAATATTGTTAAGAATATCGTTAACGGGCAACGATAGGTTATCTCCTTCGATTATAGGTTCTTTAGCAGGCCCTCTAGTAGGCTCTTTAGTAGGCACCTTAGCAGGAGGCACTTTAGTAGGCGCTTTAGCAGGCACTTTAGTAGGCACTGTGCTACTAGCGTTGTCGTTACTAGCGCTGCTAGCGGCAGTACGGTTGTTGTTTCGTAATAAGCCGGCTATTATAATAGGGGGTAACACTAATAATATATTGTTAGCCCCTAAGATGCGGATATAGCGGAATTAGTGGATATTAGTCTAGTACAATTGACTTAGTGTAATAGGTCGTATAGAAGGCCTTGCTTAATAATTGGTACGGTTGTTTCGATAGAATAGTACGTATAGGTCCTATTCTTCGGGCGCAATATAGTTAGATTAGTCTTGTTCGTAGCTATACCGCTAAAAGCTTGAAATAAGAACTATCTAGCTGCTGCCCTTAAAGGGTAGATCGAATACTATATAAGAAGGGTATATTAGTAGGTAGATAGGGTAGTAGTAGGTATAGGTAGTATTCGATAAGGAGCTAGGAGGAGAGGGAGGAAGGCAGGCAAGTTAGCCTATTGCTAAGCGCTAAGCCCTACCTAAGGCACTAAGACCCTAGCTTTACTTAGCCTAGTTACATGCCAATTACGTGTAGCCTCTTTAGCCCTAACAGTTTCTACTTCGACTATAAATTAAATACGTGTTAGGTTGGCCTATTTAAACACACGGCGGCGGTCTAATTTAAGGACTAGTTCCTATCTTAGTTTAGGTCGTATCTTAGATATCTAGATAGAGTCGGTTTTAGGTAGCAAATCGTCCTCTAGGGTCTTTAGATAGGCCTCGAAGGATCGAGAGGTTTAGTCGGCCTTTTGTTTAGTACGTAGGTATTAGTCTTAGGCGTATTGTTGCCTTAGTATAGGGTTTCTAAGGGTATCTAGTATAATAGTCTTATAGGTTTTCTACTAAATAGCGGTCTAATCGTTAAGGGAGTCGAAATAGTTATCCTACGTGCGCTTTAGGTCGCTATTAATGTACTATATAGCATAGACAACTAAGGAATAGTTATCTAGTAGCGCTCTCGGTGCATTGCGCTAGTTGAGCTTACAGTTACGAATATAGTTATTATATTGCTTCCGACTAGAGCTATTAAACACGGTGCAGTCCTTAAGTTTAGTATCCTTCTTCTAGACTAGGACTAATAGTAAGGAAGGCCCTACTATCGGCTTAGTGTTAGTTGTTAGGGCCTCCTAAAGGCGGCGGATTTTAAGGAGGTTCTCCTTTAGCTATTGTTCTTAGCGTAGAGCAGCGAGCCTATTCTAGGTAGCTTCTTAGAGTCTCGCTACTAGCTAGGGGCTAAAGGCCGGTTAGCTATATCGTCGATTAACAATGTTGTTAAGAATATCGTTAATAGGCAATTCTAGATTATCGCCTAGAACTATAGGTTCTTCGGTAGGCCTAGTAGTAGGCTCTTTAGTAGAAGGCACTTTAGCAGGTGCTTTAGTAGGCACTTTAGTAGGCACTTTAGCAGGTACTATGCTACTAGCGTTGTCGTTGCTAGCGCTGCTAGCGGCAGCACGGTTGTTATTGCTTCGTAATAAACCGGCTATTATAATAAGGGGTAACACTAATAATATATTATAGGCCCCTAAGATGCGGATGTAGCGGAATTAGTAGGTATCGGTCTAGTATGCTTAACTTAGTGTAATAGGCCGTATAGAAGGCCTTGCTTAATAATTAGTACGGTTGTTTCGATAGAATAGTACGTATAGGTCCCGTTCTTCGGGCGTAATATAGTTAAATCGATGGTTTTCGTAGCTATACCGCTAAAAGCTTGAAATAAGGACTATCTAGCTGCTACCCTTAAAGGGTGGATCGAATACTATATAAGAAGGGTTATATTAGCAGGTAGATAGGGTAGTAGTAGGTATAGGTAGTATTCGATAAGGAACTAAGAGGAGAGGGAGGAAGGCAGGCAAGTTAGCCTATTACTAAGCGCCAAGCCCTGCCTAAGGCACTAAGACCCTAGCTTTACTTAGCCTAGTTATATACCAATTACATATAGCCTCTAACATTATAATAGACAACTTTAGAAGCTACGACTTCTTCGAGTTTGTCGACTTCGCTCGTAGATACCGCATTCTAATCTTTATACTATTACTATATACCTCTTATTTCCTATAGCCGCTAGATATAGTCTTATTCTAGGTCTATAAGCATTACTACCGGAAGGCCGTTATTGAATACACAAGGCTCGGAATAGGCGAATTTAGCGTCGCTTAGTTTATAGACGCTATCGATAGTATCCGGCGGAAGACCTTTAAGAATAGTAATATTCGGTTAGCCTTTAGGAAGACCGGTATTGCCCCTATTAACGCATAGCGAGCCCTCGACTTTCTCCGTAACGAGACGGCACGTATATAGTCTAGTACGTAGAGCGTAAGGCGGTAGAGAAAGCAGACCTTCTTGTAAGGGATCTTAATAGCATCTATAATAGCGTAGAAACCGGTCGGCTCTTCGAGTTCTCGCATTTACTAGAATTGCCGCCTCTAGTCGATATAGACCTATTTAACCCTACGCTTACTATTCGTACTACAAAGCGACAGATTGATGCCCTTAATAAGCGACTTACGAGGCATAGACCGCCTTTATCTCTAATATAAGGCCTTCTCGAAGGAGTTACGAGCTTAGTACTATTCTATGCTAACTAGGGCGCTTAGGCGTTGTATAACCTCTCGGAGATAGAGATTGCTATAGAGGCGAGGAAGGCACGCAAGGCTAATAATAGCAAGCAATAGAAGATAGGCATCGCTTATACGTATAAGGTTTATACTCGAGTCGCCTATCGAGAGCTTACTGCTATTAAGAAGGCTTAGAAGTTAGTAGATAATAAGGCCTACAAGATACGGAAGTAATAGAAGTCCTATTATAAGCGATAACGGAAGGAGCTCGGTACGATAATAAGTAGAAGGGCACGTATAGAAGACAGGAAGCGGCCCCTTCTTAAGCGTACTATTTAGTTACTAACTGAGCCATTTCTATTACTTCTAATAGGTATTTATAAGACTAGACCGCTCGCTAGTTGCTACAAGCAGAGGCCGATTAAGAAGGTATATTAGATTAAGAAGCGTAAGCAATAGCTAGTTTAATATAAGTTAGTTAGCCGCTATCTTCCTAACGACCTTAAAGACCGAGCGCCGCTAAAGGTCTTTAAACTAGCAAATCTATAGTATAACACTAAGTCTATTAGTAACCCCTTCCCCTATTTTACTGCCGCTATACCTTCGAGGCTACTACGTAAGAAGAAGGCGGCTCGATTTATACTAGTAAAACCGTTGCTATTAGTATAGCGAGTAATGCTAGAAGATAGTTAATAGGCGTAGCTTATAGCGAGCGACAAAGCTATACTAATAGATATACTCGAAGAAGCTAGTTTCTACGGTTGTTATCGCTATAACTAGCAGCTAGTTAGCCTCCGCTATAAGAACGAGCCTCTTCTACGGCTAGAAGGTAACGAGCGTAGATTATCGGATAAAGAAGACCTACTATACGAGGAGCATTATAAGAGCCTGTTTCTATTACGTATACAACCGAAGGATATAGCTAGAATTGCTAAGTAGCAATAGTAATAGCGTACGTACGAGGACATTATTAAAGAAGAGTCCGACAGTAACGTTAGTAACCTGTTTAATACAACTATAGGCCTTAGTTCTTAGTTATAGCCGTATAAGTTAGATAACTAGGAGATAGATTTAGGGTAGGTACTCGATCTATTACTCGCGGAGGATACGGAGCTGCCGGAGATACCCGAGGATGTAGAATATACATAGATACTACCTTATTTAATGCTTCTAAATATATAGTATTATCGCGGTAGAGCCGCTATCTCTTATATAGGTATAGAAAGTAAGAAGTCTGTATTCGAGTCCTTTAAAGCCCGCTAAGCCCGAGATACCGGGCTTTACGAAGGTGCACTAAACACTACCTATACTAGCTACTTATATATATATGCGATACGAGGTATTAATCTACTTACTCCGGGCTTTTATATAATATAAAAATTATATGTATACGATGCGTAGTAGTAATATAAATAGTAGGTGAATAGCGGTAGTAGTATTATATAAAGCTAGCAAGAACTCGAATTGCTAGTACTATATAACAACCCTATTACCTTATATAGTAATAGAACGTTCTAGCACTATTGTAATAATATAGAATCGAGCGAGAGGGCTATTTACTATGTAAAACACCTGTTTTCACCGACTATAGGTCATTTCCGGATAGGTAATAGGTTTAGTTAGTGGTTTACGGATGGGTGTAGACTGCTCGCGTAGCGAGCCGCGTTTGCCTCCAATTCAGCTGCGGATACACACACATACATCCCCCGCCTTCCACAAGTACAGTTGGGGATACAGTAGAATAGCGTGCATGCCACCTGCACGTTTCAAGTTCCAGCACAGAATACTGTGCGAAAGTCCGCACTACATCCTCTCTCTGATAGGTGATAGACAGACTGAAGGCAGGGAGGAATGAAAGAAAGATTCGTTGGAGACGTCGTCTTCGTACATTCTTTCTAGCTGGTCCGTTCCGTTGCCGCTTGCTCATCTCAATTGCTCATCCACCATATCTCAATATTCAAATCGACCATCTCAAGCCATTATTGTACATGCAAAGAAGAATCCACGCAAAATAGAATGAATAAGAAAATTAGTCATCTTGTCCGTCCGCGAAAGGGTATCGCTCGCTCCGCTCCGCTTCGTACGTCGCCATCCCAACAGGAAAGAGAAAATAACAGTTTCATACTCGTGCTCGTCACGATCCAGGGCACAGCGTCCATGAGGGAAAGACGGCAATAGATCTTCCCAAGCGTTTCCAAAAACCAAACGCCGTGCCACTGCATCCGTTCATCGTGAAGCCATGAACCATGTTTAGCGCGCGCGCATACAAGGCACATGCTCGCGCGTCCCTCCCTGACTTGCAGCACACTATCGATCAACGCAATCAGATCTCCCAACCAGAGTCAAGTCCGAGCAACGCCTTGATGTGATGGATCTCATCAACAATTGCAATCACCAAGCTGTGGTGATGGAAAGCTTTAAATTCTCGGCCGTCGCGTTCGTGCTCGCACCCGCACGACTGTCTGCTGCTTCCTCGCCATGATCAGCAATTTGCTGCAGAACGGTATCGTGTCGCTCTCGAATCCTCAACGAACCTCGCTCGCCTCGCACGACGTGACCACTCTCGACTTTGTCCTGGATCATCTGGTCGAGTAGCTGTGTCATTTCATCCACCGATTTGCGGCGCGTCGCCCGCATGCCCTTGCCCTTGCCCTTGCCCTTGTCGGCATAGCTGTTGCTCTCTCGAGAGTTGTTGGAAGAATGAGTGGGGCTGAGGATTGCCATGGGCGAAAGAGGAGCCTTGGAGAAGTTGACGACACCATTGCTAGAATGGCTAGCGTTCGAAGGACTGCTGCCATGTCCAGACAGCCGGTAGTGGTCGTTTGCCGACGCTGCTCGTGAGGAGTGTTTCGAGATGCGCGAAGAGTTCCGCACGAAAGCATCTGGCAGCTCAGGCACGCTATCGGCAACGCTGTGCGAAGTGGGAGGTCGAGCAGTCTCTTCGCTAGTGGCAGTCTGGTGGCTCTTCCTGCGATCAGCCAACTCACGCTTTCGCGCCGCACTTCGGAGTGCCGTCACCATACGAGTCTGGTCGTCCAGCTTCTGTCGCAGATCCTCGATCTCGCGCTCACGATCGCGCACGAGAGCTTCCAAGCTGCCCTCCTCAGGAATGTCGACACGAGATGCGAACTGCACGCTGACTCGGCTGTGACTGGTGCGCCGAGCCTGGAGAAGACGCTTCTCAAGCGTGCGGATGTACCGGTCCTTATCCGCTAGGTCTGCCTGCAGCATTCGAACCTGCTGCGCCAAGCTCGCGTTACCGTTGCCATCCGCACCTCCAGAATCGTTCTCGTCGTCGTCTGCACCTTCGTCTTCGGTCACCATGTGCGACACCTGTGCAGCAGGAATGGACCCCATGGTGACGCATCCGCCAGAGAGAGTGCGGCCGGCTCGTTCTTCAGGTGACGGTAGTTCGAGAGTCGCGTTGCTGTCCCGAATATTGCTGTCACGACTGCGAGCGCTGACAGGGCGCCCATATTCGGACTGTGTCGTGCTGAAGCTGCTCAGTCGAGGATTAAAAGGCAGGCTCGAGCTGGAGAAGCGACCGGAATTGACGCCGATCGATCTCGACGACAGGATCAAGCGATTGAGGTGGCCGATGCGCTCTTTGAGTGCCGTCCGGGCGAGCTGCATTTCCAGCATCTGCTCTTCATGCCTGGCCTGCTCCTCCCTCTCCAGCTGCTGCTCCACTTGGCGGTCTCTCTCCAATTCTTCCCTCTTCTCCGCTTCTTCCTTCGCCTTGTTCTGCTCTTGCAACTGCGCGCGAAGGTCCTGGATTTCGATTCGATATCGGTCAAGAAGCGCTCGGCTCCCTGCATCGCCACCATTTGGATTGGATTCGTTCTTCTTGGCGTGACTGACGATGTTGTTCTTCGCTCTGCTGGCGAATTTGAGCGTGTTGAGTGTTTCGCCAGTGTGTGAACTCGCTAATGCAGCGCTTGTGCCGGCCGAAGAAAGCTGAATGGTGCAGAGAATGGACACGAGGGAGTTGCCGGACAGCGCACCTTGCAGCAATCTCGTGAGCTTGCTGTCTCTGTACGGTAAGTGCTTGAGAGCCTTCTCTCGGTCAGCGGGCTTCGCGCCGCCCTCCTTTTCATCCTTTTCATCCTCGCCCGACAGTCGTGCGATTACAGTACCCAGAGTGAGAAGTGATTTGTTGATGTGCGCACCTTCCGTTCGCCGCTCCTTGTTCTCGGCCGCCTTCTCGGAGCCAGCAAGATCGATGAGCGAAAGAGTGGACACCAGCACTCCACCAGGTATGATCTTGTCTGGCCGCCTGGCGTCTGAAGCTTGAGTGCGTTCTCGAGATTCAACCACGATCTGAACCACAGCATGCGAACGAGAAGACCGTGCGTTAAACTGCGTACTACCAGTTCGTCTCGCAAGATCTCCCCTGGCGATGACTCGCAGAAGCTGGTTCGGGGATTGCACAATCTCTTCCTTCAAAGGTGTAGCGTACACTCCACGCTTACTATCTTCGCGAAGTTTGATTTCTTCTTGCTGCTGTCCAGGAACAGCTTGATTCAGTAAGTCGTAGATCTTCTCGTTGTAAATTTCCAGGTAGCTAACTCGTAAAAGAAATTCTCGGTTGGGGTTTTCGCGAATATAGGAGAAAATATCAGTAATGGCCAAAGGAATGACACCAGGCTGTTGTGCAGTTCCTTGCATGGAGAAGGTCTTGCCCGTTCCAGTCATACCATACGCAAAGACTGTACCATGATAGCCTTCCATCACCCGTCGCACCAGCCGCTTCGCAGCGTTATCGTATACTCGGGCGTTCTGGTCGTGGGGCGAGAAGACATTGTCGTAGCGGTAGTCGCCGCCTTCTCGTCCGCGATATGATATCAGTGAACGTCTTCCGTCGACCAGCCACTCTCCTTCTGGGCGATCTCCATCGCTGCCTGCATCTGGTCGTACACGCACGCTGACAATGACGTTGCCCTTGATGTCCTTGCCTCCAGACTCTCGCTTCTCCGTTGAGCTCGTCTTGCGCGACCTCCCTCGGTCGCCATGATCCTCAACCTCGGTCGCATCTGTCTGATACGAGCCATTCGCAGAGGAGCTTCGACTTTCGGGAGGTGACGGTATGCTGAGAAGGCTGTCGGAGACTCTTGTCCCGCGACCACTGGAGATCAAGTTACTGTCGCCTGTCCCATTCAAGAGACTGGGAGAACCTCCGAGGCCTCCTTGGGAAGCGCGAGCACGCAAGCCATAGCCAGAACTGCGCGGCTTGGACTTCTTCAGTCCACTCTCTGCACTTCTGTGCTTCGACGAATCGCGTTTGCTCTTGGATTGCAGCGGTCGTGAGTTCTGTTGTTCGTTGGATGACGGAGATGCGGAAAGCGGACTGGGGGGAAGACTGGTCACGCGTGGACCACCTTTGGGAGGCAGTGGGAAGGAACCAATGCTAGTGGTCTTCCGCAAGGTCTTCGGGATGCCGGTGCTTGGCAATGGTGGTGAAGGAGAGGTTCCAGGCGTGTCTGCTGCAGTAGAACTTAATGTAGGAATCGAAGGAGTGGAACTGGACTTGGAGGGCTTTGGTGTCGGCAGTCCAGATACGGTGACTGATCGTGAAGGAATGGCTGTCCGTTTCGGGGTTGATGTGGGGAGTTGTGAGGCGGTGGAGGTTCGCCGAGAATCTGGGGGAGAGTCATAGGTGTCGTCGGACTGTTTGCGAGTCTTGGGGAGGGGCAGAGCTGGCAGAGGGCCTGTGGGAGGAGGTGGTCTTGCAGTGCGCGGGATAGTGGATGTCATGGTGGCAGACGCCATTAGCCGTGCTCTATTCACTCTGCTGCACGTATCCGACGCTCTCTGAGATTGCAATCAATGCCTCGTGAGGCCCGTCGCGTCGTCGCAGCTGAAGGGGCCAGCAATTGTGGTTGCCATGCGGTGTCCCGAATGCCCCCGTCGAGCTGATCGCCGCTGCCGCCGCCGCTGCCGTCGCCGTCGCCGTCGCCGTGGTCGTCGTGGCGGAGGAAGAAGGGCCCTGCGTCCCAGGCTGGCTTGCTGTCAAAGCAGATCGAGGTTGGCTCGGGGCAGTGGGTATGATCCGGCGTCGCACAACACCAGCGGTCTGTGCAAGCTGCTGAATGCAGGGATTCCAGGCGTGGGCCAAGAAACAAGTGCGGACCAATGCCTGCTCCAGAGATTGCGCACAGAGCAGTATGGGATGGATATGCTGACTTCGATTGCTGATTGACCAGTCCGTCTTTCCATCTGCGACGCGAATGCGAATCGTGGCAGTCTCAGCGCAAAGACTGGTCGGGGTAGTGGCAGAGCAGAATGGGATGGTGGTCCAGCGACATGGCTCTGCCGTTCCGCTCAGGAAGCACGATGCCACGATCCCACGAATGCACGATGCTCGCGCCTCGCTGCCACAACAGTCAGTAGGGAGTTAGCGACGGCTTGACCCTTTCGCAGGCGGCAGTAGTCCTGTGAACGGCACGAGCTAAAGCATGCTAGCCAAATTTCTCATGCATATACCCATATTCAACCCCTGAGACAAGGTATCAAGCTCGCCCGGCACGGCCTGGCGTTGACGCTTTCCTGGGGGTGGGAGAGAGCTTAATATGCCGGTACCGTATGTATGGCCCCGTGGGCACTGGCCAGCGAGCCAAAGCAATCAAAAGGTAGCATAGTAGGAGTGGTGTGCGAAGACCTTGTGCCCTGGCTATCGTTCTGTACCACAACGCCTCCACGTTGCTTGTGACCGTCACACGCCGTTCGGCGTTCGCGCAGAGATCCGCAGCCAGGATCAGCTGCCTCTTCATTTGCATAGTATGTATGAGTATGACATGACATTTCGCCTGGGCTTGTGCACCTCGGCCCATTCGGCCGACCTCCCGGCACACGGAAAGGCGAGCGAGCCAAGAGACAATTGACAAGTGACGCGAAGGACATGGTGCACACCGAGCAGTACAGCTGTCAGCGCTGCGGTCGTGTGAATAATACTGGGAGACCAGTCTCTGGCCAGCAGCTTATAGGGGCTACATGAGGCCACGCATGGTTCTGTGTTGTTGATGCCGCAGGAGCGAAACGTCACAGCCAATGCAATAATAATGCCTCACTCACTGCCTCCGTAAGACCAACATCTACCGGTAGTAGTGATGAAGTTGTAGAACACATGCAGCCGATGCAGGAACGACGCTTGCCGCTGACTCCCTCACCCGCCCACCTGTACTCCGTATATTCTACAGGCCAGGCACAGCTTCCAATTGGCAGAAGCTCATCCCCATCAAACTTTCTTGCCGACGAGCTGCATCGAGATCGAGAAGTCCGTACCGATACTGCAAACACTGTCCATGACACGACCCTGAATCGGTATGATTGCTGATGCGCTGCTATGTGAGCGCCATTTGACCATCTAGAGATATGTCACACGCACGTGAGCGAGGTGTCAAGGCGCCTGATCGACGCTGCAGTCGTTGATCCACCCAGGAACCAGCTCATGGCTTTACATGATATGGGAGCTCCAGGGCTGGTGTAGGGGCGGGCAACCACCCGACTGACACTCCCGAGCCAAAGCTGAGAACAAAGTGCTTTGAGCCAAAGCACACCCAGCGTACCAACGGCAGCCAGGGATATCTCCGCTGTGGGGAGGGAGTACCAAAGGTTGCAGCGTCTGAGACGGAGCACTGATGGCGGAGATGAGATGAGCTTTCAGACGACGTTTGAGCCCTGCATCCTGCATGACATACAGTATTGGGATGGAAGCTCTTTCTGTGCACGGCGATCGATATAACACGAGTCGAGATCTCCTCCGACGTGCTCCTCAGGAGCAACAATCTGCACGCCCCAGCGCCGGCCGACTGTCACGGCATAGGCGCAAGTACGCTCTTCCAGCTTTGACGACTATTATATCTCGGCGAATGCAATGCACCAAGGCAATTGCGATGAAGTCAGGCGAAGAATCTTGCACGGCACACAAGCCACCTGGTGTTGAGGGAAAACGTAGATGATGTGTATCTGCAGCTCTGCGCGGAAAAGTCACGATGACGCTTCCATTTCCCATTCTTCCGCCCAGCATTGCTCCACACACATGCCGACCCGCAATTGCAGCACTTCACCACTTCTTCACACCTTTCGGAAGAAGCGACCACTTGTCAGATTCTCAAGCACTTCTTCCCGCCGTACATCCGGTGCACCCCACGCAGTTTGCCTTCGTTCAACTCTCGTCGTGTTCATTGATCTCCTCAACAACGTCAAACTATAACAAACCCCGATCAAGCCAAGATGCCTTCAGAAGCACCACAATTTGACCAGAACAAGGCATATGCTGAGCAGGGAGATGTCTTCTTTGACGACGGACGCGAGATTGAGCTGCTTCACTTCATCTACGACTTGCCAGACATTAACAGCATACGAGGCTCTCCTCGGAAAGTCCTCGATGCAATCGATCTGTTTGGCAGGACGAAGAAGTATCTGATGAATGTCGGCGAGGATAAGGGCAGGATAGTTTCAGATCTGATCGCAGAAGTCAAGCCTCAGACTATGGTGAGTCCTCCACCAGGTGTTGGGTGGGAATCAAAACTGACATTTCACCAGGTTGAGCTTGGCGGCTACATTGGTTACAGCTGCATTCTGTTCGGCGATGCTGTACGAAAGGCTGGAGGCAAGCGCTACTACAGTTTAGAGCGCAGTCCGGAGTTTGCTGCCGTCATCATGGCTCTCGTCAACCTCGCTGGTCTGTCCGACATCGTCAAGGTCGAAGTTGGTTCGTCAGATGCCTCAATAGCCCGCCTTCACGAGCAGGGAGCACTGACTCACATTGATCTCATGTTCTTGGACCACTACAAGCCAGCTTACACAACGGATTTGAAGCTCTGCGAGGAGTTGAAGTTGATTACGCCTGGGTCTGTGCTCGCTGCGGACAATGTGATCAAGCCTGGCAATCCACCTTACCTGGAATATGTCCGGTCGAGCGTCAAGGAGAAGCGGGAGAAGGCCAAGCAGACGAATCGTGGTGTCAATGGTATCGACGAGCGATTCGGCGAGAAGCAAGTCGCGCAGTATGCGAAACGAATCCAGAAGGAGAGTCTTGGCCACACTACAGGTAACCCGAATCTTGTGTATGACTCGAAGTTGGTGAACAGCTTTGAGCCAACCGGTGTACCAGTGAGTTCAGCATCCTACTACATCTCAATGGCGACTCAGCTAATGATTTCAGGACGGCGTGGAGATCTCGAGATGTATCAGCGAGGAGACATAGAAATCAGCACATTGATAGCAAAGGTTGGGCTCGTTCGAATTCCTTGGAAATTGACATGGATCCCTTTGGTATAGAACTTGATCTGAACCATAAACGATAGAAGAGGGCTTCCTTGCAGTTTCGCTTATAGCTAGTGACGTGCTTTCGATAGTTGAAACACGATCGATCTCGAGAAGTGGCGGAACTAATTGTGGAACTAATGTCGGCATTGAAATTACCTCAAGACTTGCCTGAAAAGAATATTGGCCAGAGGATTCCTAGGCTCGACAGTCAGCCTCCGCCAGCCTTGAATGACTTTTACTCCAGGTAACTTTCACGTGCACTAGCAGCATACAAAAGCGAACTTTTATTTCACAATCACTCTTTGTTCAATAATCCAGCGTGCAATAGTCAGCAGAAAAAACCTGGAGTACTACTTCGACAGCGCCAATTGCAACTCAATTGCACGTCTCATTGCCACCTAGGTCAACCCTTTGAGCCCCCAAGGGCGATTTGTTTCGTCCTACCTCAACTCGGATCGGACGATGTGTAGATACATCTCGTCCTACAGCCCCGATCTAGCTGCACAACATCATCAACCAAGAAACATGCACCAAGTCCTCTTCAAAACAAGTTGGTGCACCACTGTTCGTCGTCAGCGTGAATGGATAAGCTTGCAGCATATCCTGGTCTGTGCAACATTTTCTTTTCTTGCCATGTCCGCGCAAGCCGAACTGTCCTGCGGTCTTTTACTGGTTGTGTTACTTTGAAGGCCAATGAGAGGGAGGGAGAGTTGGGTTTTGAGAGTTGGGTGTACATAAAGGTGATGGCTGGTCTTGTGTATGAGTGTGGCCTGTCCCCATGCGGGATGGTCTGTAGGGCCGATCACCGATGAAATGGTTGACCGAAATTTTTGAGACCTGGTATGCAAATCGTCTGCTTGCTCGGCTCTCGCTAAAGAACAGCAAAGTATGACAATCGTCCTCCATCCAAGACCTTTGCAACGACAACCCTTCAACAACCTCGACCTATGAGTCTCAAACAGCTGGAAGATCTTCGCTCGTGTGCCTTCAGCTCGGCCGTCTCACCTGCGCCAGAGGAGGCAGGTCTTGGACGAAGAATGATCGTCGATATGGTCAAACCTGAGCCTGTATTTGGATCTTGCTGGTCTGTATCCGTACGTCAAGAATGAAGCAGAGAAATTCGTGAAGGTGATGGCGTCCAGAATGAGGGTATAAATGGTTGCTAGAATTTCAGCAATATCGACAACCATTCACGGTCGGTTTGGTCAATGTAAGCCTGCTGTCTCACAAGCAGCGTTTGAAATCGGTTCCCTTGGCTCAAGATGACGATTCCTTGTGTCGTCGTTTGGGGCTGGTGAGGTCTGATGTTCCCTATCCGACTGTGGGCGGTTGTCATTCTTTTGCTTCCGCCGAAGCATCTTCAGTTTTTCTTCGCTCTCATGCTGTGATATGTAGTCTCAGACACCAAACGTCAGTCAGCCGTCAGCCGTCAGCCGTCATCGAATCGGTCGATAAATACACACTGCAATAATCAAGACCTCAAGCAACGATCATGTGCTGAGGTGTGGCCCGCGTAATCTGCTTCGAGCTCGCCTTCAAGTAGCTCTTGGCTCGTACAGCTCACCATTCTACCGAAGTTCACGCAGCCCTTCGTATCGAACATGGATACAGCCATCAACGCACATCTGCGCTCTCTCGATCATCACGGCCGGCAGGGAACATTCCTTAGCTCTTCCTGAGCATCATCCACTCATTGCAATCCTTTCGATCGGGGAGCACGCTTAATGGATGATTGACCTTGTAAAGCCTTCGTCGACATCAGGTACGGGTTCTGCAGCCATCCATTAGCCTTGAGGTTGACCCCGCCAATCGTGTGATGTGAGGTAGGACTACATGTTGCAGCAGTGAGCCGTCTTGAGTAGTTTATCTTTCGTTGGTCGTCATACGCTCTTGTCCAGTCATTGAAGCTGCGTCGTGTCGGAAGCGATCGAGTCGGCTGAGAACTGTCTCACGGTAACCATCCCGACGGCAGGAAGCGATGCACTTCCACTAGCGGTGCGACTTGGTGATCCACTCGTTTCAATCTCTCGTACACCAGAGGTGATTGAGAGTTGGACAAGAGTCGGACACGGGCGTGACCCACACCCGGCGACACAGCCTGCGGAAGGAAGTCGTGATGTGGGAGATTAAGGTAGGGACAAACTTGCTGGAGGGAGCTTCGTGAAGCAGTAAGAGGATTATCGCTGCTTGTTTCAATCCATATATAATGATGATTGAAAACGACGTACCGCTGGCCTTGCAGACAATGACTATGATCAAGTGGCTTACCTGTATCTTTTCTCGAGTCAGAGCTTGGTAGTCGAATTAGCTGTACCTCAATCGCTCTTGTCGGATGTTGCATACTTGCCGAGTACTGCCCAGCCAGATACTGGTAGCAGGTCCTGTGCTGCGCTGTGCTGTGGCCATCCAGACTGGGGTCACTTCATGCTACTGCGCATGCACGCAAGTTCCAGTGAGTGCGTGAAGTTGCTACGAAGTATCGAGCAAAGCGTCGTGGTCACATCCATATCAGGAACATGCACCGACTCACCTTCGCACCAGCCTGAATGAGACCCAACGCCGCGCAGAAAGTCCAGCAGGACCCCATGCAGCGAGTTCCATCAAACCAAAACTCATGACGAAAAGAGTTTGATTCATGTGCAGGATCTGAGAATTTCGCATTGTCCATTTCACGTAGCAGTAGCACTATCTCATGCGACCGACTTTCCGTCAGTCCTGATATCCGATTTGATCAATGCCTCGCCATAAACGCCATTGCTATTTCTCCCATTCATGCCATCTATGAGGACTTGGCGACGCGCTTGCCTTTGGCGTTCTTCTTCGGGGTGTCGGAGATGGTGAGACCTGGACGACGGAGAGTCAGTATGGGTGGAAAACGAGGAAGCATTATGGCTGGATGTACCCGGTGGGAGAGACTGCTTCAGCTTCTCGGCCTTGTCGGAGTCCTTGAGGACGAGAGTGTAGAGGAAGCGGTGGCAGCGGACCTTGAACTTGGTCTGCTCCTTGTTGCCGACCTTGTTCTTCTTTATCCGCGCAGCTGGAGAATATCGTTAGTATACGGATTGGTCTTGCATGGCTCGACATTGAGGCATACAGGAGGCATCCTTTCTGCGGCAGATCTCAATGAAGGACTTGATGTCGGTGACTTCCTTAGGCATCTTGGCGGTATTGTTGCTGGGCGATTGATGGTATGCGAATTGCGTGGATGTGTATTCGTCGTGGTCGAGGTCAAATTTGGAAAGTGCGGGTCTGAGCCGGGAAAAGAAACTACTGGGACGGAAATCTTGGCAGGCGCGGTTGCTATTTGCATGTTTGTGAAAGCAAGCGAACCACTCCATCTGCAGCGAAAATGGCGGTTCAATTGTCCGATACAGATCGCGTCAAAGTCTCCACTGAAGTCGCCGAAGAGTTCATCGAAGCATACTACACTGCCCTCAACAGCTCCTCCGCCCGCAACACAATCGCATCGTTCTACATCCCTCCCATACCAGGCACGACACCATCCCGAAATCTGCCCATCATCAACTACAACGGTGACCTCTCCAACGATGGCAGCACATTTCAAACGAAGTTCAGCGAGATGCCATATGCATTTTACGAAGCGCAGAGCGTAAATGTCCAGGTTCTGAACCCTTGCATCGACCCGAATGGAGCCAAATCGAGGAAGGAGGCTGAGAGGAACATGAGTCTGGCTGTGCAGGTCAGCGGAAACGTGAGGCTCAATGAGAGGAAGGAGGGACCACTAAGGGGCTTTTCGGATGATATGGTAATTGTGCCCAATAAGGAGGCTGCTGGTGGGAAAGGAACAGGGAAGACGGGCGAGGGGAGGCAGTGGCTGATTCAGACGCAAAATTTTCGATTTGTGGTTTGAAATCGTCAGAAGAGGCACATTGTGAGAAATTCTGAGGTGGAAATGAATAATGAGGAGCATGGAGTCTGGCTGTTAAGAGATACCCATGGATGAGATGGAATGGAATGGGAGGAACCTTTGAGATGGGGTTTAACAGGAAGGAATTCAACGAAAGCATGCCAACACGTTGGACATTCATATTCTTGCATTCTTTCCGGCGTTATCTGGTTGGCTGTACGGGACTTCCGCCCTTGGCTGTCTTGTCGAGCCTCATTAGTGAAGCATCTGATACTCAAAGCGGATACAGCATCGTTGGAACTGACCTGGAAGCTTTCACTCGATTCCGATGCCATATTTTACTGGCTACCATCATTTCAACTTACTTGACTGTTCTCTCACAAGCCCGGTGCATCAATTAATCGAGACAGGCACGTCGTCTAACGAAAAGTCTGTCCACCCAGCTTTGCAAAGACCCAGCGTTACGGCATACCGACGACCTTATATAAGTCGAAGCTCACCTTCCTTGCGACTCTGTTCTCGGAGTAGCGCCTCTCTTCCATGATCTTTGTTAAAGGCACTCTTCGCTTGGCTTCCATCTCACATTCGAAGCGTTCCTAGCACAATCATTACCTGTGGAAGATGAGCCCAAGTCCATGCACCAAGCTTTGCATTGGGCTCCACTCGGCTCGACCACACTGTACTCGACTGATCTCAAATGAATGGAAGTTCATCTATTCGCTCGGCTTCGAAGTCGCACTCGAAGCATCATGTCATACGCAGACAACAATTAAGCCATCGCGGTAATTAATTGAGTCACTACATGTTCCTCACTAAGGTACTCACCTCTTCCAAACGCAGCCGCTTGACGCTCTGCGGCCCGCATGAGAACCCTGCGATCCACTGGTTCTCGACAGCGACCTGCGACTTTGCTTTCAAGTGAAGTTTCCACGACAACATCAACATTCGCCACACCACACCGTACCACCATCGCGACCATGAAGGCGCAAAAGCCAGGTACCGACTGGACTGCGACCGTCTTCCTTCGCGTCAATGGCAAACCTGGTGCGGAGTATGTGCTGCCCGACAAGAACAGCGACCACCCTAACATCCTCGAGTGCTTCGTCCCAGCTGAGCCTGGTCAACGACTTGCGATTCACGGCAACTTCGCTGGATCAACGACCAACTTTGTCGCTGATCTCATCGTTGACGGCTCATTCCTCCGCCAAACCTCTTCAAACAGCAGCCATGGACTCGTAACCAAGAATCACAACATCAAGTTCGACAAGGCAATGACGATACCATTCCCTAAAGACTGGTCTTCTATTGAGCATCCGAAGAGTGGGGTGGAGGGAAACATGCACGTGGACAAGATCGAAGAGAATTTTGTTGCGGACCTGTCGACTTACGAGAATCCGACGTTTGGCAGTCGTCGCGCTGGAGTTGGAAGCATTCAAGTTGTCATCTACGCCAGTCAACATGTTATGAACCGTCACCAAGATAGAGAATGGAACATCACACTCGGCGTCTGGAAGGACTCTCAGCGACAGGAGAAGAAGGACGTACGAAAGAGTGGCATTAAGCCTGAATTCGAGGTCAAGCTGGAGAATACGATGGAGGCCACAGCAAAGAGAGGTACGGGCCATTACAAGCACTGGCATGACAACACTCGTCCAGGGTTCGACGAAGTCGCGCGATTCATCTTCTATTATCGAAGCCAGGCTGCGATTGATGCCATTGGTTGCATTTTGCGAGCGGATGAAGAACAAAAACTGGAGCAGTGGAATGAGAACGCCGAGCTTCATGGTCGTCGACACGGCAAATTCAAAGAGGGTGAAGCCCCAGCTAAAGGGTTCAAGAAGCCACGATCTGTCAATCGCGACGACGAGGAGGCCGAAGAAGAACATGCAGGTGAAAGCGAGAATGCTCAAGGTGATGTAATTGACAGAGAGGAAAAGGACCCTAGCGTGGAAACCGCAAATGAGCTTCAAAGTGGACTTCCTAATCACAAGGCGCTGCAGAGACTGGGAGGTCCTTTGAGCCTTGCTCTTGGAACGTCTACCCAAATGTCGCCGAACGACACCGGGTATGAGAAGAGCGCATCGAGCGCAGAGGATTCGACTTCGTTAGAGCACATTCGAGATGCGGCCGTGGGCGACAGCAAGCACACGAGAAACAGTCCGCACAGCGGCCCAGGCGCAGACGCTGTTGTCGAAACAACGATAGGAATTGATGCACCCTTCGGCGTTGGCGCTCGAGAGTCTACTAAAGCGACCGGAGACATGATGCGAGACGATCTTGACGAAGCTCAATTGGGCGCCGAAGATACAACAGATCGCGCTCTGACACATGCCCATGACCTCACCTTACCAGCGACATCAAATCCAGCGCGTCAAGTGAACACCTTGGCGCGGACCATCGAAAACGATGCAAGAAGCCCACGAAAACCTTTGAGATTTCAACCATCATCTGACAACTTTCGAAGTACGCTCATCGGCGACCTTCTCGTTCCCCTCAACTTGGCTGGACAGCTTTCACCGCCAGCACTGAGTTCACGAGATCACCACGACAGTAGTGAACCCTTCCCGGCAGCGTCAGACCCATCTACAAGACTTATCAACAAGACTGACCAAGTCACCAACTCGAAACGAACTTCAGACATCGACGTAGAGACGAGTCCAAGCAATGGGACCGAATGGGGTCAGCTCCCCACTCGTGAGGAGATATTAGCAGAATTCTCGTCAGATGACACTTTGACACTTGTCGAGGCAACGGCCCTCTTTGGCCGGCATGGTCCCTACCAGAGCAATACTTTGAGTCGTCTGGCGTTCAACAAGGAACTCTACGAGGTCGCTGACCAAATCGGCACCAACATCTTCAGCTTGAAGGCTGCATACACCAAGCAATCGAACTTGAACGACACCGATGCCTTCGTCGATCAGTCCAGTCCAGGTCCAGCAGACCTGCATGGTGACAAGATCGAGCTCGGGCCATCTAGCGAACTGAGCAGTGCCGGCAATCACATGCAGGGTCGTGGCAACACTCACATTCGCGACACTTCTACCACTCCTCGTCGGCATTCTTCGTCCAACAAACAATCGCCTCAACAATCACACAGCACCATAAAGTCGGGTATTGTTGGAGCAAACAACATTTCCTCAGCCTCTACACCCAGAACTGGATCATCGAAACGCATCCGGACAGCAGTGAGGCGCAGTACCGAGATCGATATCACGCCAACCAAGGTGCCGCCCAAGATGCCGTCCAACTCCTCAACGCCAGCTTCTGGCGTGAAGCGGGCTGCAAACGCATCAGCCTATGCTGAGTCCTCCACCAAGCGACCGAAGAAGGACGATAAGGCCAGAGTGCCAAAGGCCAACACTACCCCTTGCAAGACTGGACCTACCTCTGCACCGACCTCGGTCACGCCTGCGCCTGCGCCAAAGGCCGAGCCTTATCCTGTACCGATCGACGACGAAGACCTCGATGCCCGTGAACTCCGCCTCGAAAAAGTCAGAGCCGAGATCGCCAAAAAGAAAGCCAAGCTCGAGGAGCTTCGTGCCGCCAAGCTGGCAAAGAAGGCCGCCAAGGCAGCTGAGAAGGCTGAAAAGGAGCGCAAGGCTCGGGAGAAGGCCGAGCAGGAGGCCCGAGAAGAAGAGCAGCGTAAAGCTGCACATCGTAGGAGACTCGAGGAGGAAGAAGAGAACCTCCAGAACGATCTCATGGGCCTTGATGTGGAAATTGAGCAGCACGATGACGAGAGTGATGAGAGTGATAGGGAGAGTGAGCCTGAGGTGGGTGGAAAGCAAGCTAAAGGTGTTGGCGATTCTGATTCGGAGGAGGAGAGTGAGGAAGACTAGATCCGCGAGCTATGCGGTCGGCTCCAGACGAGACTGTAGCTCGACTGAGCGAGAGTGGATTGGGCATCTGGGCATCGGAGCTGCGAATGGTCTTCCTGGGCGACGTCAATCAGGCACATAAGTTACGAGCCTAGCGCGCGGCAGTCTGAGCTGCTGAGTGAGCATAGCATCGAGTGAGATTCAGCATCACAAAAGCAATGTGCAATGACATGAAAACAGTATCCTGATCAAACCCATCCAATCGTTCTGTTCTCGTAGTAGGGTATCTCGTCCGTAAAATTGACCAAAACAAATACTCGTCCGCCCATAGTGTCATGACCGCCTTCGCCCTTGCCAAGTCAGTCAAGAAGGCAAGGCCCTCTAAACTCTCGGCGCCCTCATGTTTGCCTTGACTCTCGCCAGAAGCTCTTCTCTAGTCGCTGTTGAGCCGGCCATCAGATTGCGCTATGGGGGCGGACATTAGCGAGTTGCAAGTGTGTATCAGCGGAAGGCGAGAACTTACATTGTCCAACCACCTCCTCATCTCGGTATCAGTCCAAGTCTCAGGCTCTCCAGTCGGATCAGGTTCTTTGGGGAACATATTCTGACCCCAGATACTCCATGCTGTGGCTGCTGTTACGAGGGCTGTGAAGCCGAGGAAGAGGTTCTGGGAGGATAGATGTCAGTAATCTATCATTCTCGATGGAAGGGGTGAAAGATAAAGATGATTGCGTTGCGTGGCGTTTGGTCTTGGCTTCATTATTACCCTGAGAAAGTAGACCGAGGCATAAGTGCCGACACAAGCAGCAATGAAGCAGACAATCGCTTCGTGGATCATGTCGACACATCGGCAGTAGGAAAATGGTCTGCTGACCTTCGAATTAAGTGCTCTGTCGAGTGGCGTTGGCATTGTTCCGACTCTCTTCGATCCTAAATTTTCTCCCGATGCCTCGCAATCTTTTCGTGAAGATGTGGTCGCTCGACGGGACAGCTCCAGGAGTAATAAGCTCTCTTGCAAGGTGTTACGGAGAGCAGTAAAATGCTGGCACAAGGACAGCAGAAGATGACGAATAGTCGGCCGACGTATTTCGTGAAAGACGGTGTTGCGGGCGGATTGCTAGGGATCGCTGGTGGGAGTATTGGGAGGCCGCAATACGTCCCGCACATTCACGCCAGGCAGCGATATAACAAATATGTTGATCGATGTGGTGATGGACGAGTGTGGCGGTGCAGGAAGGTGCTACCCCAGCATCATGAACCCTGCAGCGGCCATATGGTCCTTGCGTGGCTTCGTGCAGTTCTGGACAAGGAGAGGTTAGTGGATGGGTGGGGGACAGCTGTACGAAACGGCGACCTTTCGTTTCTCTGCATACGCATTCACGTTTCGACCGCTTCAATGCGGGTATGAACTCCAATCGCGACCCGTTTGGCCTACGACGAACCTCTCCCGCATCACAACTCTTCAGAAGCGGAATCAACGGCGTCCAGCAATCCGCGCAACGCGCACAAGCGCTGTTCGAACGGGGGAGGGAAACATTCCCTTCGGCAGCATCTTCACACGACAGTGATACTCACATGAGAATCGATACGAATATGTCTGCATATGGCATAACCAATGGCACGGCTGCCTCACATAATGTCGATATGTGGCAGAGCTCTGGACGATCGCGGTTTCATCACACTTCGAGCTCGCAGGATGAGAGCATAACGGATAAGGTTGCTGGCATCTTCTCGGATTCTAAGAGGCAGAGCTTGCCCATGTACAAAGATAAGCCTAGGAATTATTATGGACCGGGTGGGAGAAAGATGCATCAATGGATGCGGCGTAAAAGAGTGCTTGGAGGAGTGCTAGCTGGTCTGGCGCTTTTCAGTTGGTGGTTTGGCATACTCAGTCCGCTGTCATGGTTCACTGGTGGTGGAGAAGTACATCCGGGCGAAACGAAGAATACACCTTCATCGAGCGGGAAATCTGGTTGGAGCTTGTTTGGCTGGAAAGAGGACGTGGACTGGGCAGATCGTGCAGAGAGGGTAAAAGATGCTTTCAAGATCTCGTGGTCAGGATATGAGAAGTATGGCTGGGGTATGTATAGACGAGTAGTATGCCTCCCTCCAGGGAGCAGAAGCTACGCGAGGACTGACTGACGATTCGCAGGATACGATGAATACCACCCTGTTAGCCATACTGGAAGATTTATGACGCCCACTGGTTTGGGCTGGATCATTGTGGATGCTTTGGACACTATGATGTTGATGAATCTGACCACTGAACTGACGCACGCGAGACAGTGGATACATTCTAACCTGACTTACGATCAGGACCATGATGTCAATACTTTTGAAACGACGATTCGAATGCTTGGTGGTCTGCTTTCCGCTCATTACTTGAGTACCATGTTCAACGGCAAATACGCGCCTGTGTCAGACGGGTTGAGCGACGACATGTACGTGGAAAAGGCGACAGACTTGGCCGATCGACTCCTCGGCGCATACGAGACAAATTCGGGAGTGCCGTTAGCAAGTGTGAATTTGCACACCCAAGCAGGTATCCCGTCTCACGCCGATGGCGGAGCATCGTCGACCGCGGAGGCGACAAGTTTGCAGCTCGAGATGAAATACCTTGCGAAACTCACTGGAGAGACGCATTACTGGGAGCATGCTGAAAGGGTCATCAAGGTTGTAGACGACAACGAAGCTGAGGACGGCCTTGTGCCTATCTTCATCTATGCAGATCGCGGCACTTTCAGAGGCGACAATATCCGTCTCGGCAGTCGCGGAGACAGCTACTACGAGTATCTCATCAAGCAGTACCTGCAGACCAGCCAGCAAGAGCCAGTCTACCAGGAAATGTGGAATCAGACTCTGGATGGCGTCAAGAAGCACTTGATCACCTACAGCTATCCGAACAACTTCACTGTGCTCGCCGAACGACCAAACGGACTGCACAAGGACATCTCGGCGAAGATGGACCATCTCGTCTGTTTTATGGGCGGTACTCTTGCCTTGGGCACCACTGGTGGCAAACCTGTCGCACAGGCCAAGAAGGATGGACCCTGGGGTGAGAAGCAGGAGGAAGACATGCGACTTGCTCACGAGCTTACGAAGACGTGTATGGGCATGTACCGCACAGCTACCGGTCTCGCGCCTGAGATTGCCCACTTCAAGATACATGAGCCGCCTATCATGTACAACGACTTCCCTCAGAATGCCAAGCCTCAAAGCCCAGCTGAATTTGCCAAGTGCAAGGACTCGAGGTGCTCTGAGACTGAAGAGGTCGGACACGATGACTACATCTTCAAACCAGCCGACTTGCACAACTTGCAAAGACCGGAAACGGTGGAGTCGCTCTTCTACATGTGGCGAATCACCGGAGACGAGATCTACCGGAAGTGGGGATGGGAGATGTTCCAAGCCTGGATCAAGTACACCGCTGTCGAAGATGGTGAGGGCTTCTCCAGTATCTCCAACGTGATGGAGATTCCGGTCAATTTCAGGGACAACATGGAGAGCTTCTGGATGGCAAGTAACGGCCACATTCGGGGGAGACTGTATACTAACGTATTAACAGGCCGAAACGCTGAAATACTTCTACCTTCTCTTCTCGAATGACGATATTCTCCCATTAACAGACGTGGTCTTCAACACCGAGGCCCATCCATTCCCACGCTTCCAGCTCGGTAAGCTTTTCAAGACTGGCTGGCAACGCAAGAAGTACAGAGGCAAAGAGCCTGCTCAGCCCATTCAGACCAGGTCTGAGGAAAGCCAGGTACGGGTACAGACTGTCAAAGTGACACGAACGCTGGAGGAAGAGGCCGCGACTGAAACAAAGCTTTCGGACTTGGCACAGCAAGAGGGCGAGAAGAAGGAGAGTGTGCTGATAGCATGAGTGAGTCGATTTGTTGGGAGATGTATCATTACTGATCTTTAGCGATGCATTTGAGCCTCAGGTCTGAGGTCTCTTTGATGCCGTGAGTGCAGCAAACAGGTCTGGAAATCTCAATAGGCTCACACCTCGTCTTCAACTGTTGCTTCAGAGGGCGATCGAACCGCCGGACTGCTGACTATATCTCTGCAGACGCTGGGATGGGCATGAATCGTCTGGAAATGCAGTTTTCAAGCAACAATGCAGCAAGCATGATGATGATGTCTCTCATCGGCGACTTCGAATGCATTCGAGAGAGCTGAGTATGCCGATGCGAGTGCATAACCGGACTCGTGCATCGCCATCGCTGTGGAGTCGTTAGATTGGATCAGGTCAGAGATTCTTGGGTTGTAGCACGATCGAAGACATGGTTGTGTCCGACGAAAATTCACATAACCAAATTGGGAGCGTTCTGATGAAGCCAATATGCATCTCGTGGGTCAATTCGTGCGTTTGTGGCTGAAGTACTGCTCCATACTAATACTCTGCCAGACACTTGTTCGCCTATGCGCCAAGGGGCAGAAAACACCTTCCAGAGCCCTTCGCGCACATGCAAGCAATGGCCTCTTGCCGTTCGTTGAGCAGTAGCAACGCACGACGGGTGAGCGTACAGCCGTTGCTCCTTCCAACTGTCACATGGAAGTCGCGCTAGCACGGTGCGCCGCGTTCCGCTTTTTCGCTCGCACACATCCTCGAACGAACGACTTTGCTCACAACATCAGCCATCAACAACATCGTTCGCCCACAATGTCGTTTCGCGGCGGCATTTGGGCTGACCCCAATGGTCATCCCACCACAGATGGAGCTGATCAACTCATGTACACCCACAGTGGCGGCAACCAGCACGCTTTCCGCGGCGATTATGTTTCCGACCTGCTGGCACGCCCAGTTGATGCTGCTTCTACACAAAGCGACCTACGCAATCCCATTGCTGGCCGACGCAACTTCATGTCGCAGCCGCAGCCACCGAATTTCACGGGACCAGCACCACGACCGCTCAGCATGCAAGCCGTGCCCTCGTTCGACTTTGTTGAGCAAATGAAAGAATTGCGAGAGAAGGTTGAAGCACTCTCTCGAGCGCCTCCAAACATGCTCCAGCACCAGGCGCCTGTCGCAGCCTTCGCCCAGCCACCACCAGAAGTTCGCCCTCGGCGACTTGAGCTGGTGCCGTGGCAAGTATCGGCCGCCATCAAGCCCGCGGTCGAGCGTGAGAGGGCACCTAGTCCAGAAGAACAGCTCAGCGACCACGATGTGTCAACTCGTGCTGGCAGCGCATCTCCAGCTCCAGCTCCAGCTTCCGCTCCCACTCCAGTTCTGTGGCTGGACCACGCACAAAAATTACTGAACCAAGCTCTTGGACGCATTTCGCGGTTCAAGCAGGAATTCACGGTCTCAAACAATGCAAAGCGCCGCGAACTTGCTCACGCGATTCGATCGAATTTCTCAAATGATGGCCGAGTGATGTTTCAATATCATCACGTAGCGGATATTCTGGATGAGAGGCAGCTAGAACAGTTCAACAAGGGTACGGACGCGCTTGATGCCGACCATTTAGTTGAGCTTGCATCTGCTTGGCAGAATCTTCCGATGAATCTGAAGGGAACCTGGCAGAAGGCTACCAAAATCTTCAAGAAATGTTTGAAGAAGGATGATCTGACGTTCTTCGAGTCCCTCGACCTTTCTGGGACCACGGCGTTTATTGAGAAGTTCGAGAGGGGATTTCAAGTTCACGACAATCCGCCTGCAGCGCTGACAGACAGTGCACATGCCTCGTTCGCAGGTTCGCAAGGTGTCCAGGGATTCGAGGCGAAAGCCAAGCCATCGAAGCGCTCCAACCCTATGGATTTGACAATTCTGAGATACTATGGTCTAGAAGTTCGATGGGACGACGATCCAAAGCAAATGGCGCAGCTGACGCTTGAATATCTCGACATTTTTCTCACCGAGACCCCGGGACTGGCCACTCGACTTCGTTGGGCAGACACACTCGTGGACTATGACCCCAAAGTTGACACCACTTACGGTATATGGGCCAGGCTATCGACGGCATTGTCAAGTGATAGATGGCCATCATTCTGCAATGTAAAGGGCCGAGCGGCAAAGGTGGAGAGCCTTATTCTCCCATTTTTCTCCGTGAATGCCACAAATCCAAAATTTGCAGAGTTGATTCGCAGCAACAATGGCTACTTCAACAACGAGAAAGGGCATGCCACGAAGTTCGCCCCAACCACAGCTTGGTTGGGCGAGCACCTGGCATGCCACCAGCCGATGTCTGCAAACAAAAAGTCCAAGATCGTGGGTTCTATTCTACGCGCGATCCGCTTGCGTGTTGTCTCTGAACAAGCCGACTGGTTTCCAGCCACTCAAGTTGGACCTCAAGATGCGGAGTCTTTGCTGCGGCAGACCGCCAACGTGGCTGTCCAGCAACGATCCAACGGATCTTACGATCGATTCTCACTTGCAAATGACGAAGATGGTTTTGGAAATACCCTCCTCCACTGCTTTGAACTCGAAGGATTGCAGAGTCAAGAGTACGAAGAACTTCTCGAGCAGAAGTTGTACAGCTTTGATCGCCACACCAACGGACAATTTCAGCTACAGCAAACTCCTCTGGCATGGTCGAGGACGAAAATCATCCCACCCACTTCAGATCAGCCGGCCACGCACTCAAGTGCAAAACATCGTCTCGAGCAGGATGCAGAACCAGCGGAAGGAATGAAGCGTGTGAAGCGAGAGTCTTCACATCGCAATGGCTCCAGTCCGGCCAATCCATGGACGCCTTTCGTGGCCAAAGACCCAAACCCGCAGCCAACGCTTGCCGGAAACCTCAGTCCGACGAAAGCGCACCCTCGCTTTACGTTGGATAGAGTCGGAGAGCTCCCGAAGGCTAGGTCCTCCCGCAAGGACCGGAAGGCCACGAAAAGCCGTCATGGCTACTTTCTGCACGACGCAGACCGTCAGTCATAAAGTCACACAGCCAGCGAACGTTAGACGAATTGCTTCGAGTATCAAATTATCGCGACCAAGGAAATGCCACTCAGCAGGTTTGGCTTGGTGGTTTAACACGGCGTTTTTGCTCGCGTCTTCTTCTTCAGCTCTTCTGTACGAGAGAGAGTGTGTGTACACGTAATATTTGACTTTACAATAAGTGTCCTCCTGTCACTTCTTCTTCCCAGGTTCCTCTTGTGTCTCGTGAGTACTAATAAACAGTAAGCTGCAATTGCAGTAGCAGTAGCAGCATCTGTGCAAGTGTTCTATGCCCCCCCCCCCCCCCCCGCGGAGAAAAAAAACTCCAAAAAGCGCTCTTCCTGTCCCAAAGAACCCAACCGCTTGTATGCAAAAAACGAGGCTCCTCAGTGTCGTAACACGCTCCCCCTCAAACTCACTCTTGACCTCAACCAATTTCTGCCACTGCCACTCTCAATCCTCCTCTCCTCGGGAGTTACGAAGAACGGATCATCATCACCCTCCTAATTCCCGATTCCATTCCCATTCCCCTCAACCTTCCCCGCCTCCCTCACACAACTCACGAATTCATCCTCACTTCCCACATCCCAGAGATTCTCATTCCTCCAGCCGATCAATTGCGAAACCTCCTCACGATTTGTGTAGAGTTTACTCTCCAATCGTCCCAAAACCGCGACCGCGGCTCGGATCAGCGTCTTGTCGCCTTCGAAAACGAAAATATCCCATATTCGACTCACGTGCTCGTGCGGTAGATTATACGCGAACAAGCAGCGGAAGATGGGGTCGAGATATTCTTCGGGTGTCATGCCGAGTTGTGGCGAAGTGAGGTGATCGTGGAGTTTTGTGAATTTGTATTTCAGGGTTTGGAGGGTCAAGTCGTAGGTTCTTTGCATGGCGGGTTGGTCGTGGACGAGGAAGGCGAGGGGGAGGGGTCGGTTGAGCATGTTGGCGAGGAGGACGAAGGCTTGTGGCGGAGGGAGGATAAGGCAGATGGTGCCTGCGATGAGGTGGGTTCCGTAGACGTAGCCGACGTCGCTGCGGTACATGGCGTAGGCTTTGAGGACGTTTGTGAGGCTCTGGTGGAGAGGAGCGGATGGATTGGAGTACATTTTCGTTTCAGGGAGTGTGTTCGGCACATCGCGGCTAATGGCATCCATCCAGGCTGCTTCCTTTGATGCTGCGCGCTCCTCGGGAGGCATTTCTCTGATCTTGTCCTCAAGAGCGTGAGCGCGACTCAAGGCGGCTTCGAATGATGCTGGTGTCAACTCGAGCTCGTTGCCAATGGCTTTTTGCCAGACTTCGCCTCGTGATCGAGGAGTAACGCCTCGCCACCAGAGTTCTCTCGTTCGCGGCTCTTTCACAACCGCATCCCAGTTTGGCAGGACGTGCTGGTCCCAGATCCGCGCTATGCTGCCCTGCATCTCCTCCTTATTTTCGCGATTTTCTTGCTCTTTCAAGGCACGCTTCTTCTCGGCCTCCGCTGCGCGTGCCATCATCTGCTGGAACTCCTTCAGATGTTTGCGCTCCTCTTTTTGGCTTTTGGGAGGTAGCCAAGAAGGTCTTGTCCGCGACAACACTGCCTCTTTCTCTTTGCTGATCGGCAGCGGATCGATCATGATGTTGCCCTTCTGCAGCGGCGGCAGTGTACTAGGTATCGGTGCGGGTATCTCTGTAATGCTCGTCTTCGATCTTTGCAAGGTTTTGACGTCGCCGACGCGTGGCGGACTGATCGCAGCGCTGTTCATTCTGGAGTTTGGAAGACTACGTCTGCCCGTCGATAATCCTTCCGCATATTCTTCCAATTTCTGTGACAGTTCTCGCGCCTCCGCGTTCAGATCTTCAGTCCACGACTTGCTACGTTCTTTTCGGTGTATCGAATGGGACGGGAGTGAGGAGACGGTCGCGGAATGTGGCATCATGGGCGGCCTGCCATTTTTCGGTGATCGCGGCGAGATGTACTGATTCGGTGGCGGAGGAGCAGAAGGTCGTTTCGCACCCTTTGGAATGTTCGCAGAATGCAAGTGGCCGTATGGTCTCCGATGCGGACTAGGCGTCGTCGACCGTTGGCCAGCTGCGGTTGTTGAGGGCGATTTCAGTGTGGCATAGTGACCCGGCTGAGGAGACACAGGCACATTTTCCAAGATGGCCTCATCCGGCACATCGTCGTCCTCATCATTATACTCGGCCTCCAACTCCTTCACCGTCTTTCGTCCAGGCTGCCAAGTTGGCTTCCGCAGCGCTGAGGCCTGCGACTCAAACGAAGCCTTGGGCGTTGCGCTGGCAAGTGTCTGCGGCGAGGACGAAAAGCCATTCTGCATGAATGGTTTACTAGGACTGGGCGATCGAGATGGAAGCCTCTGTGGCGTGCGCATATATGGCGATGTTGGACCGGACGCCGCCCGTTGCTTGGTTCGTCCATTTGGTAGATTGAGGCTCTGGTCTCTCAAAACATTACTGACGGCTCCTTGCAGGCTGGGGGATTTCTGCCTCATGCCATTGGGCACCGGCCGGAGCTGCGGAGACGTTCCACTCCGCCTTCGTGTGACGTTCCCCGTGTGAAACGACTTTGGCGGCGGTCGTCGAAGCGTCGGTCTGCTGGCGGGAGGCAGATTGCTGTCCACGTCCACTGCATCGTTTCCGCCATCTTCCAATGCAACCTCTTCGAAGTGCGCGTCTTTCGATGCTAAGCCGGAATCCGAGGCACACAGCTCATCGTCGGAATTCAAGCTCGACGAACTTTTGGACGATTTGCTGTAAGACAGTTCGGGCGGCGAGTCCGGTAGGCTCCCATTAACGCTTTCCAAGCTGACACTGGCCATTGTTGTTCCTGGGCCAAGCGGAAGGCTCATACTCCTCCTGTGAGTAGTGCCGCGCCTACCATTTACCGCCGCGCTCTGAGGTAAGGCTGGTCCCAAATTATGGCGCTTCCCATGCGACGAAGTGCCAAGGTTCGTATGGGTATGTACAATTCCAGAAGCGAGCCACCTCTCCTCCGGACTCAGTTTCGACTCTCGCAGTTGGCGGACGTATGCATACTGTGGGTCTGTGGGATTATTAATAAAGTGAATCTGAGAGTGATGATGGTCGTCGAGGTGTTCGGAGGCGGAGTAGTTGTTATTGACTGCGGTTGCAGCCATGGGCCTGCACTCTGAGAAGCGAGCCACGCGATCCTGGTTCACTCGCCAGGGGCACTTTTCTGCTGGAGTGCTGACCGGCCAATCGGACGAGGCAGATGGCAGAGCCTCCGACGATGCTCGCAGCCCGAAGCGCAAGTCGAAATGTTCTGGAAGGAATCGATCGTGACAAGCAACACGAACGCAATTCATACATACAACAGTAGACCGGCCATGCACAGTGTCGAGTGTCGAGCGTTCTTCAACCCCAAGCGTCCAACGGCCGGCATGTTGGTGGCTCTTTTCCAGCCGTCCACGAGACAGCGCCGACCGACGCGGCACCGGCGAACGTTGAACCTTTGAGATTGAAAAACTGCGTCAACGAGGTCACTGTCGCAAGCGGCGTTTTTGGAAGAGAAACGGTCAAGTTGGTAGAATATAGAAACTTGGAAATGGCGGCCAGCGCCAGAAGGAGACGCGGGTGCTATCGTCGATTCGGGAGGAGCTCTGGCACTGCTCTGCTGGAGCCTCTGAGAGCAGCGCTATCGCAAGTACCTGCATAATCTACGTGTACACTAACTGCTCCTGATGTGAGGTCTGAACGACGGATCCACCTCTTTCGACATCCACAAGTTCACGCGAAGAACACCGATCGATGGCGATAGAACTCTTCAAAGCGCAAGCATGGGGCGATCGAGCTTGTTCTCAATCTTCAAGATGAGACAAGGAATCGCGTTCGAGACCGCAGCAAGTCGGCGTGCTCATCCGTAGACTCCGTACTCCACCACGACCTTGTCTAATCTCCGTTCATGAATTCGCAGACCGGGTAGTCCCAGCTGCGTTTCCAACCAAGCAAGCAGAGTTCGATGCTTCGTCTGCCGCCTGCGGAACACGACTCTGAATGCAGTACATGCGAGCCTGCGTCATGGATTAGCTAGTGGCATTTCAAATTGTCTTGGAAGAGGCGCTTAAGCAGATAAGCAGAGGAATCCAAAGCAGGCTTTCTGGCTTGTTGAACGACGGAGTGCGGAGGGGGTAATAAGCGTGAAACAGCAGCGCCGGGCGGCATTATTGTCCATTGTCCATGCACGCGCGCATCTTCTTTCTCCACCTTCCTCAACCCACGAAAGAGCCGCCGCGGGGAAGGAAGCAAGAAAGCAGCTTGGCACGCTGCATTGCATGAACAATGGCTATTGTATGCAATCCTGCTGCACAACGCCTTCCCTTCGCCGCGGGATTGAGATGACACACTCACCATCGGGCCTCTGCATTCTTCACAGAACATTCATACGCCATCACATCTTTGCTTGTGCGTTTGCGGCGTCTCATCAACACGCATGCAAGGCGGATCAGATCGTCCACGGCTCCTGGCATTCGCATTAGCATGTGTCCTTCCGTTAGTTGCCAGCGAGATCCACGAGTCATCAAGTCGAAAGTTTGGTGATTGTCCTGCTCTGCTGGCAAGCTGACAATGTAGCTCCACGGCTGTCTGCACGTCTGCTGCACGTCAAGCACAAGCGGTTTGATAGCACCGCAGGAAAGTGGTGCGCTAAAGCTCCTTCTGTTTTCAGCGCTTCCCCATTTGTCGTGAGCAAGTCCGATGCTTCCGACAGCAGAGTGTTGCCACAGAATCTACGAAGGGAAGGACACCACTTACTGATTACCAAGTCATCGGCTGGCTGCTTCGCCGCTGGCAAGGCCTTGATGTAGTGATGTGACTTCTGTGCAACATCAATGAATCCGTGGTAGAGATTCGACAGGACTGTATCGATGTGGTTGTATGAAGTCGAGAGGAGCATGGCGTGCATTTGCAACTTCAGAGCACTAGGAGATGCGTCAGCAAAGATCATTCGAATACCATAGATCAGAAGCCCTACTTCAAAGTCTTTCGATAGAAAGTCTGGCCCGGCAGCTTCGAGAACTCGACAGTGATGGATCCTGCTATATCAGTCTTCCGGCGTCGTTCTCTGTCCTTGCTCATGTCCAAGGATCGGACATCAATGGCGGTTCCGCAATAGGGAAATACTGGGTCTGTCAGCTTCGATATGGTCGTGCCAGCGAGCTTCATGTCGAAATTGGCACGACTCTTCTCGACCTTGACTTGCACACCAAACTCAGGCACACCGGCATGCATTACCTGCATGAAACGTTCAGCCACTTTCCTGTCCGTGCTGATGACCAGAAAGTCATCGATCAGTCGAAGCAGGACGCTCCTTCCGTTATTCACAAAATCAATGATCTCGTGCTCCAGCTCAGCATAGAAGTAGCTGCAGAGCAAGCTGGAAAGGATTGAGCCTTGCGGAATGCCTTCCTTTTGTCGATAGAACTTTCTTCCTATTTTGATCAGGTTGGCTTCGACGTGCTCTTCAAGCAACGCGAGCACGGCATCACGACCTTCCCTCTTCTGAGCGAGACCATTGATATAGACCGATCTTGTCCGGCCTTCAAGCACGTCATTATCAACCTCGTGGCGGAAGTGGAAAGGTTGCCCATTGGACGTCGCCTTGGTCAAGAATTTCCAGGACGGTCTGGCTCCAAAACCTGGCGTCTCCTGACAGTGATTGCCAATCAATGTTGCCCTAGAGTACTTGGAAATCTGGTACTCATCACGACTGAGGATCTTTCTAGCAAGAGTCATCAGACGCTTTTGCGGTATGGTGTCGAAGCATGACTGGACATCGACTTTGGCGAAGTACAAGGGTTTGCCCACCAGACCCTGTTCCTGAAGAGATCGTCTGTAGTTCTGAAGGCGAGGAAATATGTCGTCGATGGAAAATAAGGCCGACCCGAGCTTCGCAGGCTTGTTTGCTTTCTCGTGGTTGAGGATACTGAAAGTCGGCGTCAATATGCTGTTTATGCTTCTTCCAAGAATATTTTTGCCAAATTGTGTCTTCTGGACTCGACGTCGTAAATTGATGATTGGCCGCATACCGACCTCTTTCGGCAGAAGTCTTACACGACTGATGCCTAATGCTCTGGTAGCCATCATGGTGCTGACGCGAGTAGTGCTGCACTCCTCCAGCATACCGCATTTCAGCGACTCCAGCGCAGGCTCGCTAATCTCTCTCCACACATCGTGCCGGAAATAGAAGAGCCGGTTGCGATTGACGTTCGCTTCGGTGACATGGAAATGGCTTCGAATCAGAGGCATGAGATAGGAGTCGAAGAGGAAATACATCAGCTCCGCCATGAGCTCTTTGCGTTTCGAGAAGTCAGAGAGGCTCATGCGATGGGACTGATCCAAATTAGGTGGCATCAGCCACGAGATCTGATCAATTTGCAGCCCTTGTAGCACGTCATGCACGCTGAGGCTTTCGTAACGTCGAAGTCGAACGAAGTGATCGATGCTCTTGCGGATTGCTTTCAAGTTATTCTGGCGTACTTCCTTTTCGCCCCACAACCTGGCAGGAAACACCGCGGATATTGCTGCTCTGCAGAATGCTGATACATCGGCAGTGTTGGAGGACAAGTGAATTGAGCTGTTGGTCGGAGACTGCGTGGCCTTTGGGCGCGGGCAGTAGTGTTCAAGCAATGCGGAGTAAGCACATCTCCTGTGGCGTCTCCTTATGCTCTGCACTACTTCTTCTGCGGGCCCACGAAGCCTGCGAGGTAGAGAATGGCTGCTTGCTGCTGAAATTTGCTTCCGTGCTTGACTACGCTTGTGGCGGTAGATTTCTTGCTCTCGGATGGTGTAGTCTTTGAACTGCTGGGCTGTGTCGTTGTGGTCGATCTCAGATGTGAAAACATTATGTAGGCCGAATTGGAGCGGAAAGACATACTTCATGACATTCTCCGTCTCACTCTTGTCATCAATGTCGCGGTACCTGTTGAGTACGTGAATGTGATTCAGGCCACATTTGACAGCGCCTTTGGCACTGAGAACAGGTCTGGCATAGAGCATTCGGTGACGCACGAGTCGAATCTCACCAAGGCCGCGCCGACCACGTTTACCAGGATCGCATTCTGCTGCCATGCTTTCTTTGCTGTTTTGACCGGTGCATGTTTCCCGACTGGGCAGAACCTTGAGGTCGCTCATGGGGACGCCGCTGATCTGAATAAAGTTGCTGCTACCCTCCACAGATTGGAAAATGCCGCATTCTATCAGCATGTCGCCTATCACACGCTCTGCTGTACGTCCGACCAGATCAGGCAGAGCTTCCCATGGGTGGCCTTTCAAGATTTCGACATTCTCGTGCGGCCCATTCGAGTAGACGCCGGGAATGCCTTGGACAATTTCTGGGCCAGGCCCTACATCGTGTGCAGTGACAAAACGCTGATAGTTCTGGCAAAGCACATGTTGTGGTCTAAAGTTCCCAGGCTGTCGTCTGAAGAGGGCCCAGATGACAAAATCGACGATCTAGCTTTGATCAGCTAGAGAGAGAGAGGGACGAAGAATGTAGCAGAAATGTGCCTACCTCAGACTGCTTGAAATGACCTGGCGTCAGATGCAGGCTGGTGTCAGTATCCGAAAGCTGTTGCGTGAAAAGGGTGATGTCTTCGTCGAGGAAGCTGCTGTCGTCCACCTGAACATGCTTGAGTGCTCCCACCAGAACGCTGTCAAGCAAATGCGATACCACGGCATCGTCCGGGTGTGCAGCATCTCGCCCGTATTGCTGCAGTCTCCTACGACGTTTCTTTGACAATCGTGACGCGAGATACTGCCTCAAGGTTACAACTTGGGCATAGTATTGTTGAAGAAGGGTGTGCGTTGGTCGGCGAAAAGAGCCATCTTCTGTTTTGGCACGCTTCTTGGCGCGTTGAGCCTCTCTGCTCTGGCGCTTTCGTTTCATGCTGCATTCGCTGATGCGAGCCGAGTTGATGATGTTGTTGACACTTTCGCGTGAAGCAACAACCTTTCGCGCTGGATCGCGCCAAGCATCATCCCCCTGTCTTCTTGAAAGTCTAACCTCTTTCCTCCTGAAAACTGCTTCGTTTTCTCCAACCACACCTCGTTCTACTTCATTTTCCGTCTGCTGGTAGTGCTAAATGCCAGTTTGATCACTCGACATACGCCCGCTACCAGTATTACTTTGATGTCGTCCTCATCAAGATGTTACTTGGCAGCCTTACCACCCTAGACTGGGTTCTGGTCGCGAAGAATGCTCTCGAATTATCGAGGCCTGGAGGCTGGATCCCGTGACCCGAGATCGATGTAACAAGTATTTGTGCATATCCATCCCTTCCAGATCCAGCTGGTACCGAAGGCTCGCTAAGCTTCTATTCCAAGACGATAAAAGGGTTCGATAAATTGGGCAAACTCACAGGGGAGGACATGGTTCTGTTTCCTGAACGCGCTAAGCAAGCTGGCTTTGCAAATGTTGAGATTCACAGCCCGAGTTCTGATCGGGTGCCGGAAATGAGAGCTCGAATCAGCGCGGCAGTGATGGAGGCCACGGCTTCGGCATATAAATAAATACCTTGCCAAGACTGACCTGGAGTGCCCCGTTAGTGTGGAAAAAGATCGCAGAGAAGAGCTGAGCTGAGTTGAAAGGAGGCAAGTCGTACTGGAGGTGGGATATGTGCATACTGACCGCACAGAAACCATCTGCAGAGTGAAACTTGGACTTGGCAGCCATCTCCTGACTTTGCAGACTTTTGGCAGACAATTTTGACTTCAAACTGGGCAAGTGTTTGGGCTTTTGAAAGGGCACTCTTCTGCATGGCTGGCGATTGTACTCGTCCAGCTTCGGGTGTCCAGGTACGATCTTGAGTTGACCAAAGCCTAATGGGATGCAGGTCTAATAGTAGTGAGATGCAGAAGCAATGCAGCTGGGCGAGCTTGACTTGCGAGGCATCTGCACTCTATCTCGCTTCTCTTTAAGCGGTTCTGCTTTCATCGAGAATTTGGAGACGCTAGAAACAATTCTGGTCACCTTGCTCTGGGCCACGAGATTCTGGTTCCTCGCCCTATGAACAATCCAAGACCCCATGACTCCAAACTGATCTGGATTGTCCATTCTTCCGGCGATCGATCTTTCGAGTTTCAGCACCCTCGCACGACCTTCATCAATTGCATCCAGCCACCCCGAGTGTTCGGTGGACAATTCTGTGCTTGTAGAGTTCACCGACGATGTTCCAATTAAATTGCGAGGAAGGGCTGCGAAACGGAATGCCGCATATGATGGAGTGTTCGTCAGCAATGAAATTTACGCATCGTCAGCTTCTCAAGCTCGCTGTTCAGCCACCTCACGTTTGACCACTTTCAGTAATAGCGTTGGCGTCGCCGATGGCCTCGTGGAAATCGGCGAAATCGCTCGGTGATCATCATGCACTGGCATTGCACCTGGAAGCCATCGCGCTCGCGGACATTGACCTTTTCCAGCTGAGTAGCTGATGAGTCTCTTCCAAGTGATGTGTCTCGCATGCTGCAGACAACGTGTGCACTGTGCGGCCGGAGTCACTGTAATCCCGACGCCCTTAAGCCGTCGGCATTCAAGACGACGGGATTTAGAGCCGGGGCCGAAATGGCGAAGCATTACTAACGCAGACTCACTCTCTGGCCAGTTAAGTCACCAAGCAGCCACATGTGCCCCACAAATCCTAAAGCAGATGTACCCGTGTGGTAGCTGCTATGTCATGGGGAGAAGGCGAGGATCTTCTTTCCTGGGGACAGCTCCGCTATTGTCCAGGAGTAGGCCGTGACAGCGATCAGCTCGGGGTAGCGACAAACCATAAAAGTGAATGCTTGAGAAGTTGAGATAAGTATCAAGAGTCTTCGTCGCCTCACAGTTGGTCCAGCAGATGCTCAGAAGAACATCGAATCTACTCAGAAGCATAGCAAACAACACAAGACTACCGAACGACAAGAACCATGGCTACAGCAAGCTCCGTCCAAGTCACAACCAACCAATACCCCAACTTCTATCGTGAAGGCATCACCCAGGAATCTTCGCAGAAGCTCTCAGAACTACTCCAGGAGAATCACGACAAACATCATATCTTCTTCAACGCCGATGGCTTCCACAACCATATCGCCCATCAGCTCTTGACCATATGGGCCCTCAAAGCTTCCCCAAAAGACCTGCAGCGAGGCTACAATACCAACAGAAACTACCAGCGTCCGACGACTAAGCCATCACCAAACACGATTCAATCCCTCCGGGATCCTCACAAATTCCACGCCCATCTTGGACCGCAAGAGCACTACAATGACTTTCTCCAATTCTTCACTGAAGAGATCGACAAGAAAGGCTGGCAAGACGTGCTCAACGAATACGTTTTCTCGGGCTCTGCTCTCGCCGACGACATGCTCGTCCGAATGTACGCAGGCTTTTTACATCCTCTCATTCACCTGGGTTTTGGTGTGGAATTCCAACAACCTCCCATAGTCGCTGAAGCTTTGGCCCAAGCCGCAGTTCACGACGCCTGGATCGAGGACCTCCTACTGCCTGCAGAGAAGATGGCCAAAGAAAATGGAAACGATAAGACAATCGTCCAACTACTCGACGAGATCCACGCCAACAAGGAGATCCGTGAAGGACCAAAGTGGGAAGACCAAAACAAAATCCGCGATGGTATCTTGAAACGCTGCCCCAAGCCAGTTCTCCACATCGTCTCCCAAGTCCGCGTCAAACCAGAACAGCTCGAGGAGAAAACAGCAGAAATGACCAACGCATCGATCTACTACACAGGCGGAGCCCAACGAGCCAACAAAGTCCCAAAATTCGACTTCTACTTCATGCACTGCGTCAACTGCTCCGTCTTCTTCCCAGCATTCCTGAAACAAGACTGGCTCAGTCAAGCCAACAAAGTCCGACTCCTCGAATGGAAAACAAGACTAGACCTCGCCATGTACGCTTCTAGAAAATCTCCGGAAATCAGACTGCAGGATATCCGTTCGTATACACCGAAGAAGGCGTCGGGTTGGGATGAAATTTTCGATCGTGTGGTTGGATTCGATGATGATGGACATGCGAGTAAACTTATTCGGGCGATTGCGAATGGTGAGAAGATTTGTAGGCCTTATGAGGGGAAGTCTGGTTTCATGTTGGGTGGAGGGGATTGGTTGAAGTTGGGACATATGGTTATTGATTCTGTGGAGAGGCCTGGGGCGACCTGGGTGAGGTCGGCTGGTTTTGATGAGGCTTGGGAGGATGTTGCTGAGAGGGGTGCGAAGTTGTGAGTGTGGTACTTCTTTTCATGATGATGGAGTATGCATGTATTCGGAGTATTGACACGAAGTTCCATCAGCCTTGACTCTGGACGTCTCTGTTGTCATGTTGAGTGTTTTGCTGCATCGTTAGAGAGAAGTTCAAAAAAAAAGTGTATGGATAATGCAAATTGAGTCTCGGTTGGGCAGTGGAGGAAGGAACCGGACCGTTCGTTTGAAGCCAACGACTGAGTCCTCGAAGTAAATGATATGAGCAGAGGTTGTTTGATCATGCTGAAGCCAGCGGCGTTTTCATTTCATATGGCTATCCTGCGGTCTTCGACACTTTCAACGGACAAGGCGGATCACGAACAGCATTAAACTCCTCTAGCTTCTCTCCTGGCCTTCTCACGCCTCCGTCCAGAGGGGTCAATTCTATCTGCCAACTCCGCATCGAGCTGGAAGAATGCCCACATTGTTTGCTCCATCAAATCTTCGTATGCTCTTGGGTCGAGCCGTTCCCGGTCGAAGCAGCGCAAGAGTTTCGCGGCAAGTCCACTAGCATTTGTTTCCAGACTCCACTCTTCACCCCGTGACTCTGCGCCGGAGTCCTGCAATATGGTCAGTAGGAACGCACCCAGATTGATCATTGTGCTTACGTTTCTTGGTCGACGTGCCCGAAGCGTATCCATGATTGCTTTCACTGTGGGCTCCTTGAGTGCCGGCGTCAATGGGGACATCTTCCTGATCACTGTATGCGCCCACTTCAATGACTTGTGAGTGTCCAGACTGTATCCCACGATCTCCTCGTCGCCAAACTCAACATGTTCCATGTCCGCGAAAACATTCCTGTCGCGGTTGAAGTATACTAGTGGCTTTAGTATTGCGTTCATGGCCATGATTGGATCCTGACAACCTGTGGGCGCATCTCCGGGTGTCAAACCACGCCAGGCGACATTTCTCAGTCGTTTCATGCCGTCTTCTTCACCGGGCGACTGCTCGTCGTAAAATAAAAGAATGCCCCGACAGCGGAACCGTAGTAGCAGCCCTGAATCCAATATCCCACGATGCATGAGGGATCGATGAATGGCGTGGATCAAGACATCCGGCTCGATTCCTGTAGACGAGGTTCCGAGCAGTACATCGACGATCGAAGTTCGGTCAAACTGAAATGGTGCGGCGCTGTTGTCGCGCAAATATGCGTGTAGGGAACCGATAATCCGAGCCTGATACCGGCGTAGTCGACTGGAGAAGTTCTTGGTATTGAAATGGTTCAGCACCTCTTTCTGGGGGATATTCTGCAGTCCATTTTTCAAACTCATTGTGTCGACCCGCCACTCATCTCGCTCATGGTCCAACATACTTCTCCACACCTTCGAGAAGCGTCCAGGTTCAGTGTCCGCTTCGATTGCGGCTTGACAGCCACGGCGAGCCAAAGCCTTGATGTGGTATTCGAATAGAGTGAAACCACTCTTGTCTACCATGGGATCGAGACTCGTACAGCGAAGTCGCCACAACTCAGTACCAGGTGTCAGCCTGTTCAAGATATGTATCTTCTGCTCAATGGCGGACGCTCGGCTCGCCGGTGACTTTGACACTGTTTGAGGACACAATTTATGTGTTGGGAAGATAATGGGCGAGGGAGGATGCACCTGGGGGTTGGCAGGCTCCTCGACAACTAGATCAGCGTCCGGCACAACATCTTCTTTGACGGGCTTCGGGGGAGATGGTGCATCTGGCGGTGCAAACCTTGGGCGTGGATCCTCAATCGCTGGAGTAACGATGTCGCTGTTGCTGATCGGCGTTTCATGCAAATGGAGTTGAGCTTTCAAAGCAGGAGTTGGTACAAGTTGCTGTGCGGTGGCTTGAATGTGCAAGTCTCTGAGATCGATCTCATTCTCAGGCTCCTGACCATCACGGCAAAGCTCTGGCGGTGTTTCGACAAAGGCATCGTAGTGAGCTTGCAGATAATTCTCGAACGTCTCGGGCTGCAGGGGAGCGATGCTGCCATTAAAAAGGTCCTGTGTTTGTCGTCTCCAGAAGTTCTCTTGCTCCTCGCCGGCGTAGCTCCATCGCAGTCCTGCTCTGATTTCTGCATAATGCACTGATACTGCGCTGGGACTCAGGCCGCGCTGCTCCTCCAAGATTGCTGGAACGACGTGGTACTGAAAGAGTGTGAAGCCATTGCGTCTGATTTGGCCGTCGCGCCACAACTGGTGGAAGACTGTGCGGCGTGTCTCTCGCGGACAGCTTTTCAATTGATCGAGTGCGCTCTCAACAGCGGCCGCCATGGTCGATGTACGAAGTTGCAAATGCGAGCTGGTGTGCGTTGCGGATTGTGTGGTGTCGAGACAAGCGAGGAAATTGAGAGTGCAGGAGCAGGAGCAGGAGCGACGCCAAGCCTCCCTGCGGCAGAACAGAACAGACGCGGTGGAAGATGCACTTCGCAGGTTGCAGCATTCAGGGTATCTTGCTCGCGTGCTTCAAGATCTGCTTCGCATCGTCTCTCACTTCCTCGGTGATGCTCGCAGCAGACTTCATGGCCTTCACAAGACCGACACCAGCGCCCGCATAGGTCGCGAGACGTGCATGCTCGCCCCAGCCCTCGTCGCCTTTCTTCAATGCTTCGTCGTACAATCGCTGGTTCTCCTCCAGGCTCACCCCCTTCTCCGCGTCGTAGAAGCTCTCATTGACCACGCCACGCCCGCCATACCGCTCGGGCCAGTCTCGTGTGCCGCGCAAGGTGTCGTAAAGCTTTACGCGCCGCGTGTGCACACCGCCATCGCCAGCCCTCAGAACAGCGTCTCGGTAGCCCTTTGCAATGTTCGACTCCGGCGCGGCAAGGTAGCGAGTGCCGAGCGTCACTCCGGAAGCACCAAGAGTGATCGCGGCCGCGGTGCCTCGCCCGTCCACGATGCCACCAGTAGCGATCAATGTGGGCTTGATGTTCTTCTTCGTCCTGCACAGATCTGTCACTGCATCGTCGACCTCGGGCAGGAGCGCGATGAGGCCAGCAGCCCTGTCGAGTCCATGGCCTCCAGCGTCTTGGCCTTGCACCACCAGCACGTCTGGATCGCATGACCCGACCACTTCCAAAGCTTCCGCTACCGTTCCAATCTGGATCCAGATCTTCGTCTTGTTGTCCGTCGCTCGTCTCACTTCTCTCGTCCACTGCTGGAACTGGTCCACCTCCCGAGGCGCGAACAGCCACACGGCAGCTGGCGTGTGCTTGGCCAAAAGTGGAAGTGCATCATTCAATAGCTGGTCGCCCGCCCACAATAGGAAGCCAACTCCAACCGGCAGCACATTGTCCACTTCCCTCAAGCCCTGCGCACTCGCCTTCAACTTCTGCACTTCTTCCAGAATCTCTCCCAGATTCGACGCATCGCTGCCAGCTCCTACAAACCCGAGTCCGCCGGCTCTTGAGATCTCTGTTGCCAAAGAAGCCAAAGCGATCAATCGCATCGGCGCACCACATACCAACGGCGCTTTCGTCCATGGGTAGTCGGCTTTGAGGCGCTCCATTGTTACGCCAGCTTTCACTTGGATATCCTACACTTCTTGCAATCTACCATCTCGCGAGCTGCTTTTCAACGCACTGCGACACCTGCGACATCGGCAGAGGTACGAGCAAAGGCGCACGCATTTGTAGCGCAAGCTGACGTCTGCAGTTCCGTCATCGAGCGCTGCTCCGCGGCAAGAGCCTGAGGCAACCGTGCAGCAACATCCCTGCCGACCGTTTGACTTCACGACGCCGAAAGCAGTCGCGACTTCCTCCAGCTTTGCAACTTCACCAACTTCAACCTCACCCATCTGCAGCGTCTGCGCGTCCTGGCAACGGTCGTGTTGCGACACTATAAATATGAATGCCCCAGACAGGTACGTACCAACATCACCACCACCACACTGTTCGGCATCATTGTACAGCAAATTCGCATACAATGACGAGCAGAACCGAACTCGCGCTCACGGGTGGCGTGCACCCTCATCTGGGCATCGACAGCCATGTGAATCGCATGTCGCAGGGCTGTGATCCGCGCAACAAGACGCGCTCTGTGGGTGCCCTGTTCGACACCGCAACTGATCACAACGACAGATATGAGTCGTTCATTCTTGACGAGGGCCAGAAGAAGGTCGAGGTAGATCCCGAGACACGTAAGTTGCCCGTACCACATCGCCACGCAATATGCGCACAGCTTTCGCTTGCGAGCGGCCGCCAACATTATCTGGAGAACCGCTTGGTTATGCTGTGCGACCACCATCTAACATCATTTCTAGGCGTTCCAAATGCGGCCATGTTCACCTTCAACAAGGAGGACCACACCCTCGGCAACCTCCTCCGTGCGAAGCTCGCCAAGTCTGAGCACGTCCTCTTCGCTGGCTACCAAGTCCCACACCCACTCTTCGCTACCTTCAAGCTCCGCGTGCAGACCGACGGCGAGGTCAGTCCTAAGGAGGCTGTGGTCAACGCCTGCCGCGAGGTCGTGAAGGAGCTCGGCCAGCTTGACCAGGAGTTCACCAAGGAGTTCGAGCTCAAGAAGATCGCTGGTACTGGTCCAGGCGACGCTGGCTATTAAGCTACATTGCACGGCCTCTCATTTCATGGCATAGCGCTGGCGTTGAAGGAATAGGCATGAGATACGAAGAAAAAGTGGCGTTTGGGATGGTGGTCAGCGAGCAAAGTGCTTGCGCCGTGATTGATGATACCCACTGGCATAGGAAAAGATGAAACGATCTTCATCTGTATCGCAGGAAGTTGAGCATGCTTTTCTGCAGCATCGGCTTCTTAAGATCCACTTTAATGAGAACGTATAACTTTGGCACTCAAAAGATGGTATTAGGTGCGCACGGTAAGGTCCAACTGACTTTTACATTCTAGACGCGCATCCAGGACAAGAGAAACAACCTTGGAGGCCGAAAGCATTCAAAAACCTTGACAGGCTGCTTACCAGCTTATGCAAGCTTGGAAGCTGACCGGAGAGTTTGGTCCTCAGTCTGCAAACTTTAAATGTGTATTTTCCATATCTTCAACATGCTTCTGCGACAACACGAGCGCAACACGATATTTATTGATGCTGTGCACAAGAAAGAGCAATAGTGAATTCGAAGCTTTACGCAATTCAACTGCCTCTGCTCATTTCCACCTGCACCGCGAAATGTCAGAGTGCGAATATGGAGACCGCAAGAATGGATCCCACATGGAGAAGTGAGCGTTTGGCACGGAAAAGAAGCCCAGTGCAGAATACTACCAATAATGCCTACATCGCCGACGCCTCTGTTACAACGATAGCGCAAGAATCGAACGTACCTCCACAAGAACGGCCACCGGAACATGAATGCACTATTTTCGAGCACACAACGCAGCCAGAGGACGCTCATCCACCGTATCTGGATGTTGAGCAATCGAGATCGGATTTTTCCAGCGCATCGACCTTGCATCCATCGACTTTCGAATGGCAAACCGAAATTGTGGATTATCCGATTGCGAGTTCGAATGACGTACAACGACTCCGACATTTCATCCAGTACGTCCTCACAATCGACTACGACGTCGAAACAACCACGTCACATCTATACCCATCTGATCAACAGTATTTTCTCCAGATCGGAAGTCAGCACCACGATCTGAAGAGCGAGTCGACTCTCGAGCAGCTGCGCCTAGAGCTCGCATACAAGCACCTCGGTCTCCCTTTTCAAACTGTCCTGAGCATGATCAAGCGATTTTGTGGCAATGTGGAATCAAGCCAGGGCATTTATGACCAGGATATTCTGGAATTCGGCAAGGGAGAGGGCGATGCTATGTTGGCGACGAAATTGTGTTTGGACAAGTATGTGCTTATCCCGAGAGTCGTTACGGATAAGAAGCTTAGACAGGCTTTGATTAGAGGCAATGGGCTTGTTTGGGAGGCGAGTTTCTGAACGGCAGTAGGATGCTGCATCAGGAAGTCGGTCATGTCTGACGGATGAGGCACAGATTTTGAGCATGAAAAGAGATGACATTATGCAACCAGATCTCCACGTCGTGGGCTTCGAAAGTGGACAAGCCCGTCAATATTCAGCTTCCATACAAGGATATGTGTGCTGACGCGATCATGATCATGGAAGGTCTTTGGGCTGCGAGGCCGAGATGATTACTGCCAAGCAAAACAATCGCCCTTGGCTCAGCAGTTGGCACGGATCCGGAATTAGCTGGCAATGATGTGAAGCTGGAATCACGAAATCCTCCTTGCACACGTTAATCCTTCGGTGGGTTGATAAAAGTTTCGAGGTCAGCAAAGGAAGACGAAGCTTGCTGACGGAACAAGAGATTTGAGTCCGAGAAAGCACAATTCTATACGATGGCAAATTGCACTGCAAAGAGCTTTTCCTTTTAATCGCAGATCAGATTTAAGCATCTCCTCCGACGAATGGCCGCAATCCGACCCCCAGCCGTCAGCCTGATCTTTGGTTCGGCTGCGCGGCTCAACCATCCGCTACACGTACCACTGGCTGTCACTCCCTTTACAGCTTGACAGACACAGATCTACAGTCCTCCTGACCTTGACCTTGGCTTCTGTAAAACACTGCCGTTCAACGCGTGGACATTCTCGCCGACAGCAAAAGCATCGACAGTGTCCAGCAATTGCGATTCTCCGATGCCTGCCACGAGCGCAATCATTGCAAACTGCTATCTCTCCTTGACGACAGCAACATTCGTCTGCAAACATGCTCTCGGGAACCACACGATGTTGCAAACGTCTGCAACTGCTTCAGTTGATCGGAATTCGTGAGTCCCAAGGCTGCACCAGGGATGTTAACGTCTTCGCCATCTAGGAACAACGAGCTGCCCCTGCTCATCGAAGCTCGCTTTTATGCTCGCGAGATGATTCAGATGAACCATTTGTATACCAGCAAACGCCCGTTGACATGACGATTCTGCACTCGACACGAGCTTTACCTCCCAGCCAAGTGTGTTCAACAAAACGGATCACTCCTTTCCATCATCACCGCAAATTGCAATGAGGCCTCATCACAAACGCAGCAATTTCTTTCAAATCATGGAGAAAGGTCTAACGAGAATAACTTCTAAACTCTTCAAACGACGATCGACCCAGACAGCTCCGGCGGCTTCGTATCAAGTGCTGAGAAATATGCCTTACGATTCTTCGACGAGGAGTCGATATTGTGAGTCTTTGCTCTGCACAACGGCACAGTATACATCGATCCGGCTGACTGACAACACAGCCAGCGACGAGGACGAATGCAACAAGCATCATCGACCAAACACTATTCTTGTGGTGAATGAATTGCACACTGAGGAAAGGGCCAGGTCTGAATCGAAGGACGGGAAGATTCCAGGCTCTTGTGTCGATGCCGAGGATTGGTATGCACTTTGACGATGATGGATTACTGGGTAAATGACGGATTTTGATACCACGTGAGAGAGCGACAGATGTGCGACTTGATACTACCCTTATGCACTATCGCTTAGAATCATCAGAACGAACACTGAGATGCTACAGTATGTGATTGAACTTTGAATGCATCACATGCAACCCATTCCCACTCTTCACGTGTTGAGTGCATTTACAACACTGAATGAAAATGTGATCTACAATGCAAGCAGAACAAGACAGCGTATTTTTGGAAACACGGCGAGAATCTCAAGGCCATTTCCAAAACTCTCTGGGCGGTACCAAGATTCTCGTTCCGACATAATGAAGCTAAGCCGGAGCGTTGAGCAATCCCTGGTACTTACAGAATGAAGACTTCACTTCACGTGCATCTCCTACCGTATCCTTTGCTGGGGCACCTCCTGTGGCATTTCAACAAGTGAAGATCGCCGTAAGAAATCCACCACAACCTCTGGTACTACCACTTCCACACTAGGAACCAGGATGAAACTATCGTTCCTCATCTCACCCTGCATTGCAGTCAGTGCAAAGAGACCCAACACTCGTAAGTGGCAATCGTTCAGAAAAGTTGTATATATACATCCATCTCCAGCCCTCCAAACACAAACCTCATCACACCAGCAATCCCAACAATCAAACCAACTTAACCACACTCGTTCAATCAACCAACCCAAGTCACTCGTTTCTAACCAAAACAACCAACCAACCAACCTCAAATCAAAAATGCCTTCCTTCACCAGCATCGTCTCCATCCTGGCCGTCGCCGCCGCCACCGCCATGGCATTCGAGTACCCAGAGTACGAGGTTCCATCCAAGAGCGTCGAACCCGAGTACAAGCCAGCCAGCAAGTCCGTCGACGATGCCTACAAGCACGCCACCGCCGCTCCAAAGGAGACCTACGTCCCCCAACCAGCTGCCAAGGAGCCAGTCTACTTCACCACCTCCACCACCCGTCCCATTGCCAAGCCCACCGCCGCCCCAGCCCCGTCCCAGGGGAACTGCAACGTCAACTCTGCCGTTGCTTGCTGCGACACTGCTGATAAGACCCTCGGCAGCAACCTGCTCGGTAAGATCAAGAGAAGAAAATCGTTGGATTTTTGTTTTGCTCTCTGGCTAATGTATTGCTTTCCCGCATATAATAGGCGGCTCTTGCACCCTCAACCTCCCAATTCTCGGCACCAACTGTGAGACGGGTAGCGCTTACTGCTGCCAGACTAACCAGGTTGTAAGTACTCCCCTCGTCTGCGATTTCGACGGTAGTAACTGATACTTCTCTTCTTCTCTCAGGGTCTCATCAACGCCAACCTTGGCTGCTCGCCAATCGACGTGCTCTAAAGCGTATAATTACCTATGGACAAGACATCAAGACAGTACCTGGCGCTCATGGCGGGTAATCAGTTCATGGTTATACGAGCTTATGGCTTTCTTTTCGCCTTCTTCTTGACAAGCGGGGACGGAGCTTGGCTTAGCTGGTTGAATGGTTTTGATTTGGCTTTTTGCATAGAAGATGGCGCATCTCGAGGATTTCTATAGAGATTAGTTTAATACGGCCAATGGGTTTGACATCTCAAGAATCCTCGACATTTTTCTCTCCTGCACTTTCTTTCATGTTTCATCTTTCTCCTTGTGCTACCATTCGTTCATGCTCTTAGTGTAGCCAATTGCATGCCTCACAGCACTTGCGATGCCCGGTCTGGCGTTCGCATCCAGGTGTACAAAGGTGTTGAGAGTGATGCCTCCTGGGGTCGACATGGCCGCTTTCATGGATTCTGGCGTGAAAGCTTTGGCCGCGAACATTGCACCAGAAGACTTCAGACAGCTCGATACGATATCCTGCGCAAGACTCCTCGGAACTCCCTCGGCAACGCTCGCATCTACAGCCGTGTCCATCGCCACGATAGCCAAAGCATGTACAGCGGCGCCAATCGCTGTAGCCGCGCCCATATGTGCTTCCGGGATTCTGAGCACCGATCCGATGTGAGAGAAAGCTTCTTCGACGAGCTGGAAATGCGGTTGCGATTCGCTTCCCGAAGGAGTCGCGAGCAGCGTGACACTTTCTCGAATCCCACAACCCAGAGTCGGAATCACACATGCCGCTTTGAAGTCCCCATCCCCATCACTGCTGGAGGATGATGACGCAGATCTGAGTTCGTCCACCAGTTGCTGAGTCGAGACACCTGCCAAGACACTCACCACAGCCTTTCCAGACAATTCGCCGACAAGTCCCGGGGTCTTCAGGATGGATCCAAGCTGCGTGGGCAAGAACCCGAGGACCACAATATCTGCGCCCTTGACACAACCTACGATGTTATCGTCACCGAAAGACAAGTCGACTTTGCTAGAGTTCGAGAGGTCTTGCTTCAATCTCTCCCGTGAAGCAGAACTCCGCACATGTGCTGAGAATGTGCAATTCGAGCTCCCGGCTGCGTTCATCCAGGCTTTGAGAAGAGCTGTACCCATAAAACCTGGTGGGATGGTCAGTCAACCTTGCTCCGAGAGTGGCGGCGAGAGTAATTTATCTACCGCTGCCTAGGACCGCGATTCGGAGGCTCTTGTTCTGGATTGCGTCGCCCATGTTGTCTATTGTGTTGATGAGCAGTTTTTTTTCAATATGGCGATGTAGACTTATCAATATATCTGGTCATTGTCAGTCGCACGGTAAGCATTGCCGTAGAGGGAAGCTTTCTCCATCTCTGTCGGGATCGCGTCCCGAGCTCACCTGTCTCCATGCCATGGACGCCCAACTCACGAGACTTGCGAGCGACAACGAAGCTCACGGCATGTTCTTGGACTTGGATTAAGGCGACGATGATAGGGGATTCATCTGGCTCAAGACTGGCTATGGCGAAGGATCGCGCTAAAGAAAATCGAATATGCCTGATTCATGTACATGGCTCGTATTACATCTTCATCCTAACTACAATATTCTGTTTCGCTCCGCGTCTGCCGTCCCGTTCTGTGAAATAATGGTATCAATCGCGAAAAACAAAAACGAACGTGCAATCTCCAACCTTCATCCTACATCCTTCTCTTTACCTAAACATCCTCCTTAAATCTCGTCTCCCTCACCGGACTCTCACTCTTCTTCTGGCCCCCAAAAGCCGGAGGCGGAGCGAGCGACTCATCAAAATGATCCCTAGCCTCCTCAAACGTCTCATCCTCAGTAGCAGAAGTATTACTATTACCTCTCTGGATCTCATTAGGATTGTTCGCGGCAGGAGCACTCCCCTTGTCCGAATTCCTAGTGCGATAGTTTCCGAACCCGAACTTCTTGGCGATCCGACCACCACGGCCGCGCTGGATATCATCTTCATCGGCGCCGGAAGATGAGACGTCATCTGGGTCATGAAGATCTTGCTCGTGGCGATTGAAAGAGGATGGCGATACTGGTTCGGGATTACCACCGATGCCTGAGATGCGGGTCGAGTCGCCTATGCCACCATCTGTGCCGGTGTGGGTTGGGACTTCAAATTTGGAGCCTGTGTCGACAGGTGGGATTGTGCTTGGGGATGTCGCACTATTTTCCGCTTTGGCTGCGTCGGTTGCTGTGGCCACTGGCATTGGCTTCCGTCCGGCTTTCGTGGAATCGTATGGCACGCTGCTGTCGTTGGAGTTGGTTGTCGTCATGAACGAGCCAGCTTGCTTCTCCGACTTTGACTTGTGACGAATGCGTGAGATGAGTCCGCGAAGGCCTTTCTTCTCGTCCTTCTCATCTTGATGCTCATGCCTTTCGGTCTTAGTGATTTTCGCTGGAGAAGCAGGCGCTGCAGCAGACTCGCGTGGCCTGTCTTCCGAGACCTTCACAGCACTGGCTGTACCGGCAGTAGAGACTGGCTCAAGAGCTGGTTCCTTGCCCTTGACAGACTTCTTCTGGAGCTTGTTGTGACGATCTTTTTCACCCTCTTTGAAGGACGCGGCTGTGCCTGTCACCGGAGAGTTGTTCACGGACTTGATCGCCATGGTCGAGATAGCATCAGTCGGGATGTGTTTAGGCACACCGGGCGGCTGTATAGTTGAGGGTAGGTCGGTCGGCGGCTCTGCCCTTTGATCCTCCATCCTGGTCATTGTCTCTTCGTACACTTCGGCAGAGGGAACTGGGGGCTCAGGCTCAGCTTCAACTTGCGCTGCAGGGGTAGCAATGACACCAGTAGAAGCGACAGCTGCCGCGGCGGCAGCAGCCTTCTCAGCGTGTTTCTCATTCCAGTCATCGCTATCCTCGTCCGAATCCTCAAAATCGCTCTCCGGGATTTGTGAAATATGCCTCTCGAGGTCCGGCTTCGTGCTGGATGTCACGGTGGTGGTCGGCACCTCGTCGCCATGCAAGGTAAAACTGGGCTGCTGCTCAAACTTTGGACGCGTGGGATCATCATGAGTCAGCTTGTCATCGTCCAGTTCTTCGTCTGCTATCACGCTGCCAGAGATGGAGGAGCGCTCGTCTGAAGCACCCTTGTGCTCGCTGATCTCATGATCTCGTAGAAAAGCTGCGCCGACTGCGGCACCTGACGTGCCGACAATCGCAGCATCACGGTCAAGGCTGGAGCTGTGGACCTCCTCAGGCTCTGCAGAAGCCACAGCTGGAGCTGGCGTCTCGAGATGCTTCTCTTCCTCCGTAAGAGGCGATACAGGCTGAGCAAGAGGTGCAACTTCGGGTTCTGCTGTCGTGATGGTGGTTGCAGTAGCAGGTCTGCTTTCATCCTCGCCGAGGACGTGTGATGCCTGCTGCGCGTCCAGATCCCTGTCACCAGAATGTCCAATGTCTGCCATGGTTGCGCCAGTAGCAGCACCGGCCACTGCACCACCAGCGACAACAGGTGCCTCATTATGCGTATCGGAATCCTTGGCAGCTTCTTGATCTTGCTTCTGCTCCTTGTGAGAGCCACTCTTCCTAAAGTGATCCTTCAGCCGACTGAAAGCAGACGCGTGCTTCTCCCTGCCGTTATTTGCAACAGTGTCTTGTTCAGGCTCGTCATCTTGTCTGACTTTGGCCGCAGCCTCGCCAAGTGTAGCACCTGCAGCAACTGCAGCAGCTGTGTCTCTCTTCTCGTCTCTGCTCTTGCGTTTCTCTTCCTTCGCAAGTCGCTTCTCTTCGGTCGCGATTCGCTTCTCTTCAGCCTTGCGAAGCTTCTCTTCCTCCTTCTGTCTTCTGGCCGCCGCTTTGTCTTCGTCTGTTGAACAGAGTTAGCTTCATGCGCGCAGCTCACGATGTTCTTCGCTCACCTCGAATGCGCCGCCATTCCTCCTTCTGAGCTTGATCTTGCATTTTCTGCTCCATTTTGAGTCGCTCCTGCTCCTCCTTCTCCGCTGCAATCTCAGCATCTCGTGCTCGTCTCTGCTCGGCGGTCGCATTGATCTCGTCAAGCGTGCCCTTCAGCCTAGCAGCTGCAATGGCTTCGATATCTGCCGTCTCCATATACTTGCCACCACCGATATGAGTTCGACCAGGAGTCTCAGCCTTCTTCTCACGTTCTTGCTGAGCTCGAACACGTGCCTTTTCCTCCCACTCAGCCATCATGGCCTCCGAGACTTTGCCAGTATCGCGATACACCTGCTGATCCATATCATGCATCCGACTCGACACTCTCTTCTCTGCAGCAGCCAAGACTTTCGCGCGATCTTCACGTTGCCTCTTCTCGTCAACGTCTTTCGAGGCACTGCCCAGATTGGCCATCTGCTTGCGGATTCGACGCGCTGCGGCCTGGTCATCGTCCGAGTCGGATGCGTTAGCTGCGCTTTCGCTCACAGCTCTACCTCGTCGACCTCCAGTACCGACGCTTCGCATCGACAGTCTTGATGACAGCCTCTTCGGCTTATCTTCATAGCCGTAATGCTCGCGGAATCGAGAAGCCTCCATATCCTTATCAATCTTAGCTAGTCGTTCGGCTGCAAGCTTATGCGCGTGGTCCTGCAAGCTGAGATATGCCAAAGCTTCTTGCTTCACATCCGGATGTGCTATAGCCTCGTTACGTGCTGCGGCTCTCGCACCAGCGTGATGTGCTCCGGGTGCTTCCGGGTCTGCTAGCATGGCGTCTCGGTTCTGGTTCTCGTACATCCTCTTAGCCATGGAGATAGCAGAAGCCTTGAGCGCGGCTTGACGTCTGTCTTCATCCGTCTGAATGCCTGGGTGCTCTGTGAATAGTTGAGGGTCCATATGGCTGTTCATAATGCGCGCCGCCTGGTTCGCTGCGTCGTTCCATCCACCATTGTGGTCCGACTTCACCTTGGCTGAGTTCCGGTGCGAGACGGTTGCAGCATTCAAGGCATTGGGCACTGCATTGTGGGCATCTGGGTAAAGTGCTGGCGCGAGTGTGGGGGTCGATGCAGCGCGCGCTCTGCTGGCCTTCGCCGACATGGCAGCTGCCTGCAGTGCCTTACTCTTGTTCTCAGGTGTGTTGCCGCCGTACGCCTGCGGGCTCAGTCCCTTATTCTTAAATGCGAGAGAGGCGGCAGACTGGCCAGCAGCGGTGGCTTGAGCTTCCCAGAGATCCAACTTCGCGCCCTTGCCAGCCGCCAGCACAGCAGCCTTGGATCCCGCGACACTCTGCTCTGGCTGCCACAGCTCCTTCATTTTGTAGTCCTTTGCCAGCATTGCGGCTTTGCCGGCGGAGTCTGCAGGTGTGCCATGCGACGGGAACGACGGCAGATCTTGTGGCTTGGCATGCTTTAACGAAGCGGCGGCGCCTGGAGGCATGTTAGTATGATGGCTGTGGTTGTCCTGCTACACAACACACGCCAGGAAACACGAGCATGGAAGCAGAAGGACAGGTGATGCAGCTTACTTTTGGACGACAACTTGCCATCGGGCCCGAGGACATTGTCGTCTTTCACGTTGGCTTCATTGTGCGAGGCGCTGGCGGGCCTCGTCACGTACAGGGCGGCCGTCGATGCTTGCTCGGACAAGTTGCGCTGGTGTTTGTGGACGCTGGGGTCAGGACACGGCTCGGCGGCCATGTTGTCTTGCGTGGAGGTGGAGCAGGCAGGTATACGCTATACAGCTCGTCGTCACGTCCAGCAATGAATGGTATTCAAGGATGGCATAACGGGATTCGCAGAGCAGGAGGAGGCGGAGAGGGATGATGTGCAGGCGTTGGATGATGAGCTCGTCCTGTACACACACCTTTGAGTGAGTTCGACGCTATCGTCTGCCTGCGACGTCACAACGCAACGACGTCACCGTCACTCTCACTCTCCTTCTCCTGTGCGCCGAGCAGCCGGCAACGCCCAGATTCCACTTCCTTTCTCCATTCCCCTCATTCCCGTTGCCTTTGTTCCAGCGAAGCGGAAGGCCAAAAAAACAGGCACCTAAAGCAACCTGAGGAGCTTGCGACGAAGGTTATACCGTTATAGAACGTGTCTGTTTTTAGCCTAACGGAGCGCGAAATAACAATTAGAGTTAGTCGACAGGCTCAAAGAGCCTACGGTAGAAGGTAGGCTTTGCGAGGGTTAAATTATAAGAAAGGCGCTCTTATACAAAGTTTAGCGGGCGCTCTAATTAGTAGAAATTGTAAACACAAATTACGTATAGCTAACCTTAGGCTTTAGGTTCTTACGCGTTACGTTACTGCTAATACGATAATAATAATACAATAATACGACTATACGACTATACGACTATACGATAATTATATACGCGCCGACTCTATATATATCTCGATAATACGTTCGACTTTACTAACGCTATAAAACAAGAATAAAAATATAAAAAGAGACATAGGTTAGAATAGGAGTAGGTTAGTATAAGAAGGGTTATATTAGTAGGTAGATAGGGTAGTAGTAGGTACGAGTAGTATTCGATAGAGAACTAGAAGAAGAAGGAGGAAGGTAGGCTAGTTAGCCTACTACTAAGCGCTAAGCTCTACCTAAGGCATCGAGACCTATTACGAGATAGTAAGGTATAGGGGATAAACGAGTTGTCGTATAGTTCTATCTAGAGGTAGAAGGAAGCATACGAGGAAGTATCGCAGCGCTAAGGATTAATGCCTAAGGCATTAATCTTAGGTCTAACTTAGTTAATCCGTAACAGTACTCCCCTCCTTTATAAAGGAGCTCCTACGACGTCTCGATAACGTATAATAGGCCTTTATTATTGTCTATAATTATACTTCGTCTATACCTATTATTTATACCTATATATTATATCTATATTATAATAAGTCCTAGCAGGCGATACGAGCACCTTACACTATCCGCGTACTCTTAGCTTACTAGTCGCATTAGGTCTAACCGGCAGGCTCTTATAGTATAGCGAGGAGCTAGTATTGTCTTAACTACTCGGTAGCGAGTCTTCTTAGGGTCGGAGGCTAGCATTAATATAATAGCGGTTTATAGTAGAGAAGCATAGCCCTTTTGTATTACTAATAATCTATACTACTTAGCTAGTAGCAAGTCCTTAGTAGCGGGTAGCTTTAGCCGATATAGATATCGCTAATAGTATTCGGCTACTAGTTCCTTAGCACCTAGTAGGAAGTTATCCTATCGCTACTCGGTTTCTAAACTATCTTTCTACCGCGCCTTATACTAAATTTCTCTATCCTCGGCCTTGCGTAAGCTATAGATCTTATCGAGCTCCTACTCTTCTTCTAGCTCTTTACCTTCTCGCGCAATTAGTATCGGAGGTAGTACGTTAACTATTTCCTGTCCCGGCATTAGGTCGTTAGCGGCAGGCCTTAGCATGCTCGTATAGAACACTAGATGTATTAGTTTTATAGAGTTAGGCAGGGTTAGCTTAAAGGAGCGCCTTCCGATAGCCTTATCGATAGCGAAAGGTCCTAGCTACTTATAATCCAGTTTCTTGCTAAGTCGGTTAGTTCGTAGATAGCGCGCATCTAGCTAGACTAGGTCTCCTATTTAGTAGTTAGGAGCTATAGAACGGTTAGAGTTAGCTACGTCTATATTCTTAGTCTAGGTTAATACGTACGCTACGCGGCACTCCTCGAGGATGTCTCGTATACGAGCCGCGATCGCATTAGCTGCTTTAATATTCTTTAGCTAGTGCGCCGGCACCTAAGGGCGACCTAGTAGGTCTTAGAAACCTATATTAGGATGCCGCCCTATATTAGCGAAAAAAGGAGTTATTCCGGTAGCCGAAGCGACATAGTTATTTATCGCAAACTCCGCGAGCGGTAGCTACTTAACCTAATCGTCTTGTTAGTAGGCGTAGAAGATGCGGAGATATTGCTTAAGCGTTTAGTTTGTACGCTCCGATTAACTATTAGTCTTAGGGTAGAAGGCGGAAGAAACATTCTATATAATACTAAGGAGGGCGTATAGACGCTTAAAGAAGGTACTAACGAATTAGGTGCCTCTATCGCTAAATATAATAGAAGGTGCTCCGTACGCGAGGAAGATAAAGTAATACGCCTACTAAGTAGCGTCTTTAGTATCTAAGCGATCTGTAGGCAGAAGGCGTACTTGTTTCGTAAGGCAGTCGGTAACAGTTAGAATATTCCTATAGACCTAGTTCTTGCCTAGATGTTCGTTATAGCTCGGTAGCAAGTTAACGATATAATCGAGGGTAATATGCGACTATAGTTATAGAGGTATAGGCAATGCTAAAAGAGTACCGGGCTTCTAAAGCCTTAAAGGATTAGCTCTTCGACACGCTCGGCAATTGCGTATATACTAAGCTATATTAGCTGTTATCTTTAGCTAATAGAAGTTGTGTCTCGAAACGAGCTTAAAGGTCCGGTAGATGCCTTAGTGCCCTACTACTAGGCTGTTATAAAACCGCTAGATAATGCGTATACGGAGGTTCTTAAAGGAAGGCACGTAGAAGCGACCGTTAATAAGTAGGCGCCTATATTCGATCTTATAGTCCGCCGGGGATACCTTATGCGTTCGCATCTATAGTAATATAGCGCCTTCTCGAAGATGCTTCCGCAGTTCTTATATAAAGGATTTTATAGAGTCCTGTTTATATACTTAGCTAAATATACGGTCGATTAACGATTCTATATCGATCTCTTACTATTTAGCCGTAGGCTCGACGGGGTTTCGCTCGGTAGTAGAGTCTCGTTTATCGCCTTACGCGGTATATTATAGATCTCTACCCCCTCCCTTTTCTGCGTTATTGTCCTTAATAACTTCGTTTATGCTCTCGGATTCATATCTACTATCCTCGTAGTATATCGCGAAATTAGTAACTAGGTCTACGTTCTCTAGTTTAAGAACGGTCCTTTCTTAATACTATAGGCGAGGATCGTCGATATCGGATAGCAGATCTTGCGTGCGGCGAGTAAGGCTGTCTAGCTTTGTGCCTTGCTTACCGGGGCGGTATGTAATCTTAAAGTTAAACTAGGATAAGAACTCGGCCTATCTCGCTTGCCTCCGGTTGAGTTTCTTCGTAGATATAAAGTATTCTAAGTTCTTATAGTCGGAGATTACTTTAACGTCCTGCATTATTAGTTCTAGTTCCTATTCTTCGAAGTATTTAATAATTGCTAGCAATTCCTTGTCGTAGATATCGTAGTTGATTTCCGCTAGTAACATCTTCTTCGAAAAGAAGGCTACTAGCACTAGCACTCCGTTTCTTATTTGCGACAAGACCCTAGCGGTTACCTAATCGGAAGAATCGGTTTCGACCTACGTCTTATCGCCTAGTACGAAGTGTAATAGAACGGGTGTAGTAGTAAAGGCTTCTTTAAGGTTGTCGAAAGCTGCTTAGCACTTAGCGGTCTATTTCTAAGGGAATTCCTTTTTAGTGTCTAGATCCTTCTTAGTTAATACAGTTAGCGGAGAGACTATCCTTAAGAAGGTATAGATAAAACGTCGGTAGAAACTAGCAAATCCTAGAAAGGCTTGTACGTCTTTAACGTTTCGAGGGGCTTGCTAATACTTAATAGCGTCTACCTTAGTTAGATCTATTTCTACGCCTTCCGTAGTAATATAGAGACCTAGGTACTTAACGCGCTTAACATAGAACTCGCTTTTGTCGATATTAATAGGTAGCTAAGCTGCTATAAGCTTAGTAATAACCTGTTTAACGTAGGTAGTATACTTATCTTCCGAACCGTCGGTATAGATAAGAACATCGTCGAGGTATATAGTAACAAAGTTATTAAGGTACTTGCGGAGGATAGTGTTAATATAGCGCTAGAAGGAACTAGGTCCGTTATACAGTCCGAATAGCATTACTTTGTACTAGTATAGGCCGTAGCGAGTAATAAAAGCAGTTAGCTACTTATCTCCTTTACGGATCCGGAGATTGTTAAAAGTAGCGACTATATCGAGTTTAGTAAACCACTTCGCGCGACATAGTCGGTCTAACGTTTCCCTAATTAGCGGAATAGGGTAACGATCTTTAACTATAATCTCGTTAAGTGCGCGGTAGTTAATATATACTCGGAGTCCTCCTCCTAGCTTTCGTACTAGCAATACCGGGGAAGCGTATTAGGAACTTAATCTCTCGATAGTGCCTTTTGCTAGTTAGTTATCTATATATTTCTTTATAGCGGCTAGTTGCTCGGCATTCATAGGGTATCCTTTCTAATAAGGAGGCTAGGTTCTAGGCTTAAGATTGATTGCGTAGTCGTTGTAAACATCGTACGTAGGCAAGGTCGTATAATCCTTGTTTTTGAACGCTTTAGCTAGATAATAATAGCGCGGTAGCAGCTTCTCTCGTAGATCCGTGTCCTACGACCTCTTTATAAAGATTTTATAGTCTTCTAGTAACATAGCTGCTAACGCGGCTTCTTCGAGTATTTAAGTGTTAGATTAGAACTTATCGTTGTTAAAGTCTTCTAGCTATAGAACGAGCAGTTTATAGTTAGCTTTCTTAGCTAGACGATTGAAGGTATAGGCACTAATTATATAGATGTCGTTCTAAGCGTCGTAAGTTAAGGTATCGCGTAGAACGACTTTCGTATAGGAGTGCTTCTAATCTAAGGCTACTAGGCAAGGCATGCTCCTTTTGTTATAGTAGCGGCAGCAATAGTCTAAGTTGAAATCTATAG